ATGGCAAGTAATAGGATATATTGGAATATATGAGGAAGCCATTTGGTGTAAACCTAATTTGGCCTGAGCTTGTCTTTCCAAAAGGGCCTGACCGTGGCCGTTGACCATGCATTGTATATCTGCTTTAGAGATTCCCTATGGCAAGAGCAAAGGCCCTTGAGATAAAGGTGCAACTTCCCTCCCCCTCCCAACGTTGGCATCTCCTTAAGGATTAAGCATCTTTCCTTAGGCTAGAAACTGATTGCTGCACTCACCTGTGACCACCCAGCTCGAGACAATAGACTTGCCTCCTGCTATGCCCACCAAGAGAGCAGACCCACTACCTGCTGTGTCCATCAAGCGCTGTGCTGACAGGGCAATCTTGTGACTATTGTGGGAGGGACATTTCAATCATATGTGAAACACCCTGTTTGGAGGTATATAACCACTCTGTGCACCCCACTTCTTCGGTGCCCTTTCTTCCCAAAGGGCCGTGGTCCTCAGATTTCAGCTCAGAATAAACTCACCCAAATTTTCATTTACAGATTGGTTATGGATTATTTTTGTCAACACCACATTAGACATATTTCTATTTTTTTCAAACATCAGCATTTACCTTGCTCACTCCCATTTCCTTTATTTATGAACAACTCCAGGGATCAGATCAGAAAAAAAGGAAGAAGGAGAAAACAACATAAAAGCAGAGCCGAGGGGCCTGGAGATTTGTTTGTTCCTCTTGGTGGGAGAACGGTAGCCTCTGGCCACAGTCTATGCTGAAGAAATGACACAGGGGGACACAGTGTTGGGCCTACTGTCAGCTCTGCTCATTCTGGGTCCCCCAGGCAAGGGACCTGTGACAAAGGTGGGAGCAAGACTCACGTGCTTTGTTGTTCCATCTAGAGCTCAGCCTGGACACCGTATTTCATCAGATACGGTGGAAGAGGAAAGATACGAAGTTGTGCTCTTGCAGTTTGAAATGGCAGATGATCCAGTAGAGAGTTCTAAAGAGAGTAAAAGTTGGAGGCTATGGATGTCAACCCCTGGGGAAAGGGAAGAAAAAGTGGAAACTGATGGGGATAATCACTGGGATTATCTTTTCACATACCTGTACCTTAGAGAAGAAAATGCTTCTGATGTGTAAGTTGGATTGGAGGGAAGAGACCAGATGAAAAGCGATTTTAATGATCCAGGAATATTCTAAACATATTTACCATTTACTGAGCAGTTACTCTGTTCCAGGCACTGTGCCAAGCGCTTTACTTGTGTCGACAAAAATAATCCATAACCAATCTGTAAATGAAAATTTGGGTGAGTTTATCCTGAGCTGAAATCTGAGGACCATGGCCCGGGGCCTTTCTTCCCAAAGGAAGAAAGGGCACCAAGGAAGTGAGGTATATAGAGTGGTTTTATACCCCCATACAGGATGTTTCACATATGATTGAAATGTCCCTCTCACAATAGTCACAAGATTGCCCTGTCAGCACAGCGCTTGATGGACACAGCAGGTAGTGGGTCTGCTCTCTTGGCGGGTGTAGCAGGAGGCAAGTCTATTGTCTCAAGCTGGGCGGTCACAGGTGAGCGCAGCAATCAGTTCCTAGCCTAAGGAAAGATGCTTAATCCTTAAGGGAATGCCAATGTTGGGAGGGGGATGGAAGTTGCACCTTTATCTCAAGGGTCTTTGTTCTTGCCATAGGGAATCTCTAAAGCAGATATACAATGCATGGTCAACGGCCACGGTCAGGCCCTTTTGGAAAGACAAGCTCAGGCCAAATTAGGTTTACACAAAATGGCTTCCTCATATGCTCCAACATATCCTATTACTTGCCATTTTTATTTGTCACTTGTGTTCACTCATTTGTTTCCTATGAGATAAGAATGAGTACTATGTTCTATTTTATAGACAGGGAAACTGAGGATGAGAGTGATTTTGCAACGTGCCTAAGGGGATGTGGTTAGTAAATGATGGAGGTGGGATTTGAGTTTTGTGAGTCCAGAGTCTATGCTCTTAACCAACACCCTTATCCTGAATTAGGTTAATAGTGTACGAGCAGGTGGAGCTTCCCCACAGGAAGTCAGAAAGTTGGATCTGGAGCCCAGGAGGGATATTATGTTAGAGGATGAGGCATGAGGTCATAGGCATGGAGGAAATGGTAGAGAGAGGTATGGGGAATCCTTTAGGTGGAGGCATTTTACGACCCCAAAGTAGGCAGCCAGAGAGGAGGGGCAGCTGATTGGGTCAAGGAAGGAGTCCCAGACGGGACCAAGAAGAGAAATTCAGGGGACAAAGGATCTTGTTGGTTGGCGGTTTCATATATTGGGATTGACTTTCATGAAGGCTCAGGTTGTGACCCACACGTTATATTGTCATTAAATGGAGGGAAAATCAGCATATTTCCCTGGAGGCTCCTAGCCGTGTCTTTGACGTATCTCTTGCCACTCTTCCCCTTTTTCTAAGTACGGCTTCAAAAGAGGAAGTAGCTAAGAGATTTAAAAGGAAGTGAGAAAAACAGAGAAAGTGTGAACAAGTAGAAGGTGGATGACCTGAGCTCTGCGGTAAGCACCTGGGTTCGAGCCAGGACCCGGATTTGCTGGGGACACCAGCCAAGGACAGGACCATGCGGCTGCTCCCAGCTCTGCTCCTTCTCTGCCTCCCAGGTGAGTGGGGCTGGGGCTTTGGGAACCTGGTATTGCAGGGGGCAGGACAGAAGGTGGAAGGTCTGTCCTGGATTCAAGCCAGAGGCAAAGTGTCCGCAGAAATGGGAAGGACATAGCCTTGTACACATTCAAACATTCATCTGCACATCCTACATCCACTTATTGAGCACCAACTGTGTGCCAGGACTGTTCCAGGTGCTGTAATTAAGAGCAACTTCTGCACTCATGGACTCATAGTTGAGGGAGTCAAGTAGTTACAATAACAGTGTGGAATTTTCTATAGAAGAGATTCATCCACATGGTGATGAGAATGCGCAGCAGGGGCCCCTAACTCTGCTCTTGGAAGGATGCAAGTCCTCACTGAGGCTTCTCTGGAAGTCGGTCTTGAAGGATGAATGAGTTGGCTGAGTGGAAAATGGGAACAGCTTACACAAAAGTGCAGTGATGCAAAAGATCATGGAAAGTTCAGGAATTAGCAATAGTTCTGTTTTGCCAGAGCTGAGTTTAAAAGGGTTGGAAAAGTTTGTTAGAAGGAATTAATGAAGAGTTTAAATGCCAGCCTCAGGAGCCACCTTAAATCCTTCCTGGACCAGGTATGGTGGAGGTAATTAAATAAAATTGTCCCTCAAAGGTTGGACTTTCAGAAGAGAAGCTCTTACAAAAGAAATTCAAAATGCACAAGAGCACATTTTTCTCTAGGGAGTAAGTTTAGGATAAATTAGAGGGTATTCTTCATGTTTGTAGAATAATTTTTGTATTGGGTTCCCTCACAAGACATAGAACCACCCAACATAATGACAGACTCTTCCAGAAAAGTGGATGAAAGAGGCAGAGATTTAAAGGAAAAAGACCAGTTGGCTGACACTGACCAAAACGCAGTTTTCTTATCAGTAAAATGAGAGTGAACTGGATGGTCTGCAAGTTCTCCTAAGGGCCTCATAACCACAAGCTTAGACTCAGACAGACATTGAAAAGAGACGCATCTCGTTACACACAGGAGGTGCTCAAAATGTCTTAAATGATGATGATGATGATAATGGGCATTTTGCAAATCACCATCATCAAGGAAATGGGCAGTGGTGGCTGGAACCAGCTTGCCCGTGTTTTCCCGACTCTACGTTCAGTGAGAGCATGTTGTGAGCCTGAAATCAGCCACGTGAGAGTACTGACACCATGGAAACTGTCAGATACTACAAATCATGACTTCTGCTTCACTTTCCCCCAGAGAATTGGTTTACTTACATATCACTGCTTGTTTCAATCTGCTTGCTTAAATCTGATAAAATTACCTAAATTCCATAGCCGGGGTGCAGTTAAACCGAGGGTGGAAGTTTCTTCTCACTCTTTCATGTGGAACTGGCTGACCACTCCAGCCTCAGAGGTTCACCTTTCCATCCAGGGTACCTTTGCGGCTGGGCTTCCCCCTGGGTTCTGATTCAAAATTAGAAGTTACTTGTAAAGACTTAAATTTCAGTTCTTTTTCATCCTTGCCCCCGGCTCAACTCTCTCCCATCTTTCCCAGGATTCTCCTCCACCCACTGCACCCATTCAGGGTGGTAGACGCTGTTTGGAAAAACGTGACCATTTTACATTTATGGAGGTTACCCAAGAGGGTTGTATTGCTAGCCTGAGAATGGGGAATGAGAAAGGGATGAGAATAAAGAGGGATGGTAAGGACAATTCCAGAGATGAAAGAAGTGAATTCTGATATAAAATAAGCAAAAATAGAGCTCCTGTTTATTATGCATTTCACAATCTACAAACACTTTCAAATCCATGACGCAATTTAACCCTCTGAGCGCCTTTGTGACCTAGGCAGCACAGACAGCATTATCCTCATTTTACAGACAAGATGCTGAACAGACTAGCCCATGACATATCAACCAAGAGAAAGAACTGCAAATGCTGTCCAGATCCGCCTCCTCCCCCAGTTCTTTCCACCGGCCTCTGGGCTGTCTAGAATAAAGCTGAGCTGGTAATATTCACAGAACTATTCAGGTGCTTTCGGCTGATCACTCTGCTACATTATCTGGTATTTCCATTCTGAACTGATTGCTCTCCTCCATTCACTAGCTCCCAAGAACTTCAAGCAACCAGCAAGCACTTTTATTTTTTTAAAAATGCACACACGTATTTATATAATCCCACAAATCATTTCCAGAAAAATGCCAGATTTTGTTAAGACCTGCTAACCTTGCATTCAGGCAACATTCCAGCAGGACACAGAGTCCTCTTGGAATTAGTAGAAGCTTCTTGTTTCTCAGCTGCAAGTGCCCAGGACTGGATTGGTCATGGCTCATGACCCTTTCTCATCATTTGTCCATGCAAGGCCTCTGTTATTTTAATTATATGTAATTTAACAAACACCTGTGAACTCACTGGCCAACCCAAGAGCTGGAATGCTACCAATAGCTTAGATCTCCCTGCTCCTTTACAATCCGATCTTGCTTCCTCTTTCCAACGCCAGTAACTTGGGGTCATTTGTCAACACTTTGCATAAATATTTGCTGTTGTCACATTTGTGCGTTGAATGGAAAATCAGGCCATGGAACCGTAAGCCACATTCTAAATCCGAGGGTCTTCCACCATTTCTGCTCATTCCCAGGGCTTATGCTTCCACAGCCATTGCAAGCTCAGCCCTTTCACTGTTTTCACATACACACACGCATGTGTTTTCACAGACACATACACGTTCAAGTTCAAGCCAAATATTTAATAACTTTTTGAAGATTTATCAAGATTTGAGGGGCTCTGCTGAGGCCCATCACACAATACACGGACTTCCCCCAACTGCAGCCTTTCTCCCTCCCTGTCTCTCCTTCTGTGTCAACTTCTTGCCTTTGCCTTCCAATCCTAACCCCCAGGTCCTGCCAGCTCCAAAACCATCCCACTCAGCCATAGAGAGCGTGATCTCACGTAACCCCTTTTTCCTCTGAACACATGGCGTCACTTGGCACCCAGGCCCTGAGGACTATGATGGGAGAGGGGTCAGCTCATGCCCCAAACTTGTGTCAAGGAGCCTATCTGGGGTTCCTTTGGGGATCAGCCTTTCTTCCCAGGAATATGTTGACCCTCCCTAGGGAGCAATTAGATGAGGGACAGAGATTTATTTTTCCTCCCTTGAGAACACTGGAGAGCAGAGTAAACAAGAAGTTGTCCTCTTAAAAAATAAGTTTGAGTTGCAGAAAACCCGGAATGCACAGGCTTCACTCCAAAGGGAAGTGTGTTCATCCATGACCCAATCATGTGACTGGCAGAGGCTGCAGGGCTAAGGACAGGGCAGGACAGCCAGCTCTCTGCTCCCACTTCCAAGGGGTGGAGTTCCCATGGTGTTATTCAGTGTTTTTTGGCTCACAGGCCACAGGTCTCTACTCGTCCTGCTGACTGCAGTCTCCAGACCCTCTGGCTTGGGTCCTAAGCTCAGATGGACCCCATCCCCAAGCCCAGTACCATCCATGCCTCCCTGGAGACTTTCTCCTTGGGCTTGAGGCAGACGGCTGCTGATGGGGTCCATCAGGATAGACTCCTGAGATATGACTTGTGTTTTCCAGGCTGTTTGTCCCTGACAGGCCCCAGCTATGTGATGGGCACCACGGGGGGCTCTCTGAGCGTGCAGTGTCACTACGAGGAGATGTACAAGGGATATAACAAATACTGGTGCCGAGGACAGTATGACACAGCATGTAACATAATTGTGGAAACCAAAGGAGAAGAGAGAGAAGAGAGGAATGGCCGTGTGTCCATCAGAGACTGTGCTGATAAGCTCACCTTCACAGTGACCATGGAGAACCTCAACGCAGATGATGCTGGAACTTACTGGTGTAGGATTCAGACGGTATGGATCCTGGACGCGTGGTCATATGACCCTTCAGTCCAGGTTAAGGTGTTTGTTTTCCCAGGTAAGAGCTCCCTTCGCCCCAGCAGCAGAGCTTATGGGATATGACTGGATCTGGGGACGAGGATGAGTGCTATACTGAAGAGTGTCTCTGGGTCTTGTCTTGTCCTCAGAGTCAGTGGTGTTGGGAAGAGCCTATGATGTGGGCAGAGAGAGTGGTGGCTGATCCTTCAGCCTAGGGATGGGTTGAGGGGCAGAGCTCAAGGCATTCTCTCATAGAGCGTGGGCCTCCCCCCATCGCCTGGGAGGCCCCTCCATGCTGAGCCAAGGCTATTTCCACCATGCCTTTCAGAAATCTTTACCAAAGGAAATAAACTCTTCATACATACATCTTCAGCTCGCTCATGGAAAACTCCCTCTACCATGTTGTCCTGAAGTCGACCTCACTCATCTTGTTTCAAGAGGTAGGCTTCTTGAGTGGAAGCTGCTCTTTCTCCTGCTCCCCATATGCTATAGCGCGGTGAAGCCATGTCCACATTCTCCAGCTCCCCATCACAGCTTCCGACTTTTTACTTCCCCATCTACTTTTTAAAACATTTGTGTCACATGGCCACATCCACCCTCTGCCCCTCCTCTCCACTGGCTTCTCGGTTACTCCTCAACGTTCAGTGGGATACGGCTTCTCCACCTCAACCCCTGTCACCATCTTGGGAGGTTTGAATGAATAACTTGTCAAACGTCCTTGTCTCAGGTTCCATGACCTTCTTACCTTTAGTGGCCTGCATTTCCACTCTCTTTCAGAATTCCACTCCATGGCAACATCGCAAATCTTACTGTCACTCTCAACTGTTCCATATGTCCAAAGCCCCACACTCAAACATTCTACTTTCTGTGTGTCAGCTCTCCCATACCCTCAGTCCCACCATTCCTGTTCTCAGCCTCACCAATACCTTCAGTCCTATGATCCTTCTCTCTACTCTCCCCCAATTTATTGCTTACCCTGCCCCTTCCTTGACTTCACTTCCTTCCTAAGCCAGTGCCAACTCTCATGATAAACTATATTTTCATCTCTTACCAGTACCCTCAGCTCCCATTCACCATTTCACTCTCCACCTTTCCAAACCCTCATGCCTGGATCCATCCTAAAATTAGGGTGACCAACCACTGAGTTTGCCCTGGACTGAGAGATTTCTTGAGACATGGGGCTTTCAATACTAAAACTGAAAAGTCTCAGGAAAACGAGGGCAAGCTTGTCACCCTTCCTAGCATCTATTGGCTCCAATACTGCTGGACAAAAGTCACAGGTGGCACCTGTGGGTGTCAATAGAAGTTCATGGTTTCTAATATCACCCTCCCATTCTGCTACCTTAAGAGCGCACAGGATAGCAGACTTGAACTTTTTCAATTTCTTGCCTTCTCCACATACAAACTTCCATGCAGCCTAACTCATTCTTCCCTCTTTCCCTTTTAGTTGAGGATAAAGCTTCCCTTCTCCTGTTCAAGAGAAATCATCCTGAGGCTGGCTTCTCACCCTGTGGCTCTTTGGCTCCCACCCCTTGAGCCAAGTTCCCTCTTTGCTCATCCAATCCTTCCTCCATCAATTATCCACACTCTCTCTTGTCCTTAGCCTCTTCCTCATCACTGCTTTTCACCTCAGCTATAAACATGCTCGTGTCTCTTATGTCCTAAGAATGTCTGCGTTCTCCTCTAGGTGCCACCATTTCTCATTTCTCTCCTTCCTGCTTGCCTGAAAGGTAGGTGAGGTACACTTCCTCTTCTGTGGTCCTACTGTACCTGGTGGAGTTCTGCTCCAGTGCCCACCACTTTCTATTGAAGTGAATCAACATGTTTAGGTGTATCTGCCCCTCCATAAGGGCCGGGATGGTGCCACATCCATCAACTAACCCCCAACAGCAAGACATCGAAGGCTGTTGTTGGGTGAAACTTAGCCTGTGTTGGGTGCTCTGTGAAGGGCTGAGCCTCTGGGGCTATTGCTTTTTTTAGGAGAGCATGAGGTTGGGGTGGAACAGGGGTGGGGATACAGGTTATGTCAACAGTCTGGACCCTGAGGTCTTTGGGACGTGCTGAGTGACAACCCATTCCCTCTCCAGTGGTGAGTGAAAGTGGCCTTAAATAGCCTCTGTCTGAAGGGTGCTCTGGGTCCCCTTCCACCATCTCTATGAAGCTTCTGGGCCACAGGCAGAGCCATCTTTAGACCCCTCCCTGCTCCTCCTCCCTCCAGGGCTTCTCATCAGGGTGGGATAGCCTCTGAAAGACCCCTGCTCTCACCGCAGGGAGAGTCTGACTCGGGATGGAAGGAACACCTGGTACTTATTAGAGGTGACTCTTATGACCAGTTCTGGAAAAGTCTCATTTTGTCTCTGAGGGGCTTGCTCCATCCAGCAGGTGGCCTGGGTCTAGCTTCCGAGTATCTTTTGAGTCCCCTCTGTGAGGAGATGATTGTGTGTCACATGAGATCCAAACAGGTGCTCAGTGCCTGGCCGGGGAGAGAGCAGCTCCTCATGTATGATTTTATCTCCAGCGTCAAGTACAACCACAGGGAGGACCACACGTCCAGCTGCACCTGCCACTCTTCCAGTGGTGAACACCAGGCAGAACGTCAGCACCGGGGAGGTGCTGACCCACAGCTCAGGGTGAGGACCCATGGCCTGGGGACCATGGAGGAGGAGGGTTCGGCAGCCTTATGGGACCTTGGAGTTGGGGCTGGCAACATCATGACCTTTTTACCTCACTGTCTGCTGTGCTTTCCTCCAAATCCGGTCCTGATCTTCACCTTCTCTGGGGCAGCATGGGGTTTCTGAATGGAAAATATCACTTGTTCTGTGAACACTCTCGTGGGGCAGCTGCACGGACACAGGTGGAGCCTGGTTTCAGAAGGATGTGCAGCCCCTCCTCCCATTCCCAGACCTCCCCCCTCCTTCCCTACCTGGTTCTGCATTGGGGTCCTGGTTCGGTGGTCCCTAACCTGGGCTCACTTCCAAAAGTCTTTGCTCTACCAGAGATCCTGCTCCTAGGGGCTGCTCAGGGGTCTGTGGGGAGATGGGCCGGCTCCAGGCTGAAGTTTGGATCCATTCTCCTCCTCCCAAAGATACCCAGAAAGGGCTGTGATGCTGCAGCCAGACCCTGAAGGGAAGGGGATGAAAGACATGGCTTTAAAGTGTGGGTGAGGATTGGGGTTTCAAGAAGTCAGTTTGCAAAGGAGAAACTGTAAAGGGAAAGGGACAGAGAGAGTGAGCTCGGGAGCACACTTCTGGAAGGGAGTGCTCCTGGGTCCCTCTTCCCTCTTCGCTCCATCGTGTCTCCTTTACGGGAGTCCCAAGGGCAGTTCTTGATCACGGGAGGGGAGGTGACAGGGGCCCCATAGGGGCTGCTCTAGCGTGTGTCCCTTCTGGGTTTGATCCTGAGTTATTTGGACCCTGGAGTCAGGGCACAGGGAGAGGTGGGGAGAGAAGAGTCCCCCTGAGGAGGCAGCTCATTGCCTGTCACCGTGTCCTCTACAGGTCCCCACTCAGCAACATCCACTTCCTGCTCCTGGTCTTCCTGAAGCTGCCCCTGTTCCTGAGCATGCTTGCTGCTGTCCTCTGGGTGAACAGACCTCAGAGGGGCCCCGGAGGGAGACAGAGTCAGCCTGCCCAGGGGAATCTACCAGGCAGTGCGCCATCCTTAGGAACACTGTGTCCAGCAATATAGCCCTTCAGACTGGACTAGGGAGACCTTTGGACTCTGGACTCCAGGGCAGGGGAACAGCAGTGCCTGGATTCTGGGGGGGACTCAGGTCTTCTAGGGTATTGTTCGTGTGACTTCAGGGAGAGTTCTGGATCTCGGAGGACACTCTATGAGTCCTCAGGTGCAGGAGGAATGAGTCTCCCAGGCTCCTGCCTGGGGCCCTCCTTTCTTCTCCCCAGATCCCCTTGCTCTCTGCCCACCTCCCAAAGGCAAGAATTCTCTAGAAATTGCATGCTCAGAAGCCTGTCCCTTTACTCTTCTCCTTGGCACAAAAGCTTCTCAGCTTAGTGTCCTCCAGGGCAGTAACCAGCTCCTTCCTGCAGGCAGGAGGCTCCCTGAGGACATGCCTCTCACAGCTTTAGTTCCTGGGCTCACAGGACGCTATCCCCTCCTCTGGGACAATCCCAGGGGGGTGTGGTCCTGGCGGAGCATGCTCACACAAGTGCCCGCTGTCCTTTGTGCTCAGGGTTCTCTGCTAATGCCAATGCCTCTTGGGTCTCACTGACCTTCAATCCCCCTTGTGCTTCTGTGACCAGGGAGTGTGTGGCTGGGCTCAGAGCGTCTCTGCCTGGGACACCCATGGCAGAGTAGCTTCAAGTTAAAGTTCTGGGTCCAGTTGGAACAGTAGTAGGAGCAGGAGGCAGTGAGTGCCCCTAATATCACTCTTGGAATTCTCCAACCTGAGGGTCTCCTGTGCACAGCTCTGATGGAGAGTACAGATTTACCTGCTTTAGGAGAAGTCCGGCTGAGGCCACCTGTTGACAGTTAACACTTTCCATGGGAGATACAGGCATAGTTTTCCAAAGACAGGGTGCAGGAAGCAGAGGTGAGGAGATACTTCACCACACTGGGATGGCACGATGCCACAGCCACCACTTGGCATCTCTAGCCCAAGAAAGGGCTCAGTTGGTTCTTGAACACTTGTCAATTGCTTCCTGCCTGAAGTTTGCAGGTGGAGTTGCACAGTCTGTCACAAGCAGAGTCACCAACTCCGCTCAACTCCCTGTGTCTAGACCAGCCCTCTCCTCTCCACCAAGCTCAAGCCTGCCCTGAGCTAGTGATGCCAGTTTCCAGAAAACACTGAGAGCTCCTCTGAGTGCTGAGTTCTCAGGTGCCACACTCGGAACCTGAGCCCTGATGTGGCTACCACAAGGGCAGAGTCATTTATGGTTCCTCAAGGAGAGCTGAGGCTGACCTGGGACTCAGCTGAAGGAGAAATTCAACTTAATGAGGCACATATTAATCATATCAATAAAACATACACAGGGAAATATAGGAAACATAGCGATGGGTAAGAGAGAAGCTTGTGATACACCTTATAAAAAAGACAAGCTCACAAATCAGCATAGTATAGACAGGACTGGTAAGCGCCACAGGAGAGCCATAGGCAAGATGTTTCATGAGGGAAAACTTGTCAGATTGAGAAAGAAGATGACATTTGAGAATGATGTTAAAGGAGGTGTAGGATTTCAGCGGAGTGTGGGTGAGGGGGAGCAGGGAGTATGGAGACATATTCAGAGGAACAGCATAAGTGAAAGCAGAGAGGGAGGAAATAATCGCAGTTGTCTCTCATAGAGGGTCTATCGGCAAATGGAATGTGGTATTCACATAAGTTTCTCATGGTGGAGGTGTGTCTAAGATTCCAATGAAGTGATTTTTTTGTGTGTGTGGCAGTGCAGACGGAGCTAATCTAGGAGAACTAACGTGGGGGCAGGTTGTGGAGGCTTGAGACCCAACTCTTACTTACACATTGATTGTAGACCCTTGGATGGATTTGAGCAGGTCAAAATGGGGATCAGATGTGTGTTTTAGGAAGGCTTATCTAGCAGATGTATAGGGTAGTCTGAAAGGAAAATTCTGGGAGTCTGGAGGTCTCAAGCCTGGAAGACCTGAAAAGTGGAGGAACACTGACGCAAATGGGAAAGTCAGGGGCAGACTTGGGTGATGCAGAGCTTGGTTTCCTCTGTGTGACTGGGATAACCAGGCAGAAAGTTCTAGCAGGAAGCTGGAGATGTATGTTAGCAGAGTATTGATGCCAGAGAGATGTATGGAGAAGTTAATTGGAGTCCAGGGAGAATGAAATCTTCAAGGGAAGATTTCAGAACCAAGAACAGAGTCTCTGGCGCACCTATAGTTAGGGAGAAAGGGTAGAGAGAAGAGACAATGAACAAGGTACTGGAGAAGGAACAAACAGGTGGAAAGTGAGAAGCCAAGGGCTGTGAAAGGGAGAGAGCAGAGCCAGAAAGGTAGAGGTGGGTCAGGAATGAGAAGAGGCCATTGAAATTATCACTCACAAGATCACTGGTTAAGTACAGGTGAGCAGGTCAACAGAGCTGCGGGAGCAGAAACCAGATAGGAAAAGTTAAGAAAGAGTAACTAGATAGTGAGGATGGGTGAGAGCAGATGCAGGAGAAAGAGACAGCAGATTCCCCTTCCTTCCTTCCATTTTTCCTTTCTTTACTCATTCATTCAACAAACTTTTATTGTGTGTCTATGGTGCATTGTTCTGGGCATGAAGATAATGTTTTAAACAACGCAGATTCCCCACTCCAAAAAAAGGGAAGGTTGAGAAACAGACTCACAATTTCAATGTTTATTTTCCACCTGTATATCTTCCTTTGTGAAATGCTTGTTCACGGCTTTTGCCTAATTTTCTAATTGAAAAAAGTTTTTTATACTGTCGAAATTTGGGAGTTCTTTATATATTCTAGATGCTATTTCTTTGTTGGATACGTGGTTTGCATAGTTTCTCAGACTATGGCTTGCCTTTTCATCCTCCTCACAGGGTCTTTCATAATGCAAACACATTTTAATTTTGATGAAGTACAATTTGTTAATTTTTTTGTTTTGAGGGTTGTGCTTTTGGCATCATGTTTGAGAACTTTTCACATAGCCCTAGATCCCTAGTATTTATTCCTATGTTTTCTTCTAAAGTTTTTACCATTTTTATATTTTACATTTAAATTTGTGGACCACAATCCATTTTGAATTATTTTTTTTGTATGCTAAGAATTAGTGTTTTTTTTCCACCTGTGGATGTACAATTGTCTCAGCACCAATTGCTAAAAAGACTATCCTTTGTCTATTTAATTGCTTTTGGTCCTTTGTCAAAAATCAGTTGGGCGTATCTGTGTTGGAAGATGTATAGACAGGTTAATTGGAGCCCAGGGAGAGGCGAAATCTTTAAGGGAAGAGTTCAGAACCAAGGACAGTGGCTTTGAAGCCCTTACAGTTAGGAACCGAGGGTTTTGGGTTCTCTGTTTTCTTCCATCAATCTGTGTGTCTACTCCTCCTCTAATATCACACTGTCTTGATTACCATAGCTATATAAGTAAGTCTAACATTAGGCAGAGTAAATCTTCCCTCTTCATTCTTTTTCAAAGTTGTTTTAGGTATTCTAGTTCTTTTGCCTTTGTACATAAATTTTATTTTATTATTTTATTTCGTGTGTGTGTGTGTGTGAGGAAGATTGTCACTGAGCTAACATCTGAGCTGATCTTCCTTTATTTTATGTGGGATGCCACCACAGTGTGGCTTGACGAGCAGTGCAAGGTCTGCACCCAGGATCCAAACCTGAGAACCCAGGGCCACTGAAGCAGAGTGCATGATCCCAACCACTACACCATTGGGCCGGTCCTCCACATAAATTTTAGAGTAAGCTTGTCTTTGCCTACAGGAAATCTTGGGGGAATTTTGATAGGAATGTTCAACTTACAGATCAATATGGGAAAATGGACATCTTTACTATGCTGAGTCTTCCCATCCGCAAACGTGGTACATCTTTCAATTTATTTAAGTATTCTTTGACGTCTATCACCAACGTTTTGTGGTTTTTAGCGTAGACATGCCGCACATGTTCTTTCCTGCAGCACGTGTTCACACGTGCTGACGTGTTCTCTGTGTGTTTTGATCTTGTATCCTGTGAACTTGTAGAATTCATTTATTAGTTCTAGCAGCTTTTTGGTAGGTTCCTTGGGATTTTCTGCATAGACAATCCTGTCATCTGCCAAGAGGGACAGTTTTATTTCTCCCTTTCTAATCTGAGTCCTTTACTGGTGCCAGAGGCCCTATGGAGGCCCCCAGAAGGTTTTAAGCAGTCTGACCGTCATGTGGAGCATGTGGCATCATGGGCCCACTGTCTTTAGGCATTCCTACTTTTAAAAGAGAAGCCAGAAGTAAAATTCCTCATGTTTACGTATAGGCAACAAGCTCCACTAAAAAATATTGTAAGCAAAACCCAAAACATGTCCATAAGTCCATGCAAATCACGGATTCAGTCTACGACCTCTGAGTAAAGCAGAGCACCTCTGAGAAATTGCAGAGCAGGGCTGTGTCTGCCTAGTATTTATGCCTGGGGCCATCTGGTGCCCTCAGCAGGCTTGGGAATTGACCTTCTCGAGGACACAGATGGACCTGCGGGGATGATGTGTGGGCTGGCCCCAGGCTGGCTCAGGGGCACATCCAACTCTGCTAACTGGCCTTGTGACAGGAGACCAGGGGCCTCAGCCCTTCAGATCTCTCTCCTTACACGTGATATGAAGATTAAGACTTGCATGTGGTAGTTTTAAAACATGGCTGCAAATTCCTTGACACTCCTCCTGTAAGATTTAGGGATTATATCCCCCACCTTGAGTCTTGGGGGTGCTGTGATGGCTTCAACCAGTAGACCAGAGAAGTGTTTCTCAACACCCATCCCATAAGATCTTAATAACAAAGCTGTACTGTATATATGTTTATGTTATACACACATACATATATATGTGTGTGTGTGTGCATATATGTTTATTTACCTGTTTTGTATATAAAAACACAGGTATTTACTTATATGTGTTTTTTATATAAAAAGAGTAAAATTTTTTCACTCTCCAAGAACCAATATTCGCCCCTGTTGGAATGTATGGTGAAAGTGACCCTGTATGACTTCCAAGGCCAGGCCAGAGGAACTCTGCAGCTCCTTCCTTGGTGTCTTGACCCCTCAATGAGTCCCCTCTCCTTGGCGGCCACAGGGACACGTAGATATTTACATGGTCTCAAAGCACCTCCCTACAAAACACTTATTAATTACAGAGGAGCAAATAGCAACTTCAATGACTTTTGGCAAATCTATAATCATATATCCACCACCTCTATTGAGATCTTGATTGAGATGCCAATAACCCAACTGTTTACACCTAAAAAAAACTCTTTTAACTGTGTGTATAGCATATGAAGACTTTGTAATTTAGTTATTTTTTTTAAATATAGAAAATAAACTTTAAAAGAAGTCCCCATGTTTTTCACTCCGAACCATCAATTAAAGTTTGAGTCCACATATGGGGAGTCCTAGCCATGACCTCTCTGAGGGGATAAAAAGATATCTTCCAGGCGGCTCCCCTCTATTTTCTGCCAATTCAATAATTCATAGACATTCTAACTCTAGGGCTTGATTTAGAGTCACTTCACACCCCATAGAACGTGTGGGTCATCTTCTCCTCTATAAAAAATGGAAATAGTGTCCCAAGAAAATAATCTCAAAAGTGCACAGGAGATCCATAGATTTTAATAGGAAATGAACAGCACAAAGAGATGGGATGTGAGCTGGGCAACGGTCCAATCCTATCTTCAATCATCCACATCCAGGAGATTCTTTCTCCAGGAGGTACTGATGCAACAGAAGGTGGAATCAGCAGACCTGCATACACCTGGCCCATGGTGGGGTCTTTGCCTGTGTAGACACACTCTGAAGCTTTTTGGTTTAATTTAGGTTTTATACTTGCTGGCTGGTCCTGAATTTTGAAACCCATATTGGCTGGAATCCTGGACAGTGTAATAGTCAATTTTCTTGGCAGGGCCGCTCTAGAGTCACAAGGCAAGGAGGCATCAGGAGGACCCACACGGGGGAGATTACAGGGGCCTGGAGGACCCAGTGTGGAAGGGCAACACCATCTCCTTTCTTGTCTCTGCTTCTGTGGCAGAGGCCAGGGTCCTGGAGCTGTGCGGAGCAGGCAGGGAGCCGATGCTCTTGCTGAGGCCAGAGCGAGGGGAGTCCTCACCTCAGCAGGGCCCCTCGTCTCTTGGAACTGCCATCACTGCACACTCCCTGCTGAGAGGTCAGGAGGTCCCACTCGTCTGCTCCTCCGGTGTGAGGGTGTCGATGGCGTGGGAACTGCGGTTCTCCTGCTCAGACTGACGTTGTTTCCCCCTGGAGTCCCGCTGACTCCTGCTTAACCACATCACGGTACATAGCAGGATCCCAAGCAGGGGCACCTTCATGGATGTCAGGAGCACAAAGTGGATGTTGCAGAGCAGGACCCTGGACAGGGGACGGGAGATAGGAGTGAGCTGCCTCTTCAAGGGTAGCCCCAGAGCCAAGAGCCTTGTCCCTGCTCCCTGAGCCAAGACCTGCGTGACACACAAGCCTCGGTTCCTGGCCAGAAAGCCCCTCTGAGGGGCACGGTCATGCTGCCCAAAGGCGAAGACTTCAGGGGCCCCCCTATAGGCTCAGCCTGGGGACCAGCACCTTTGCCGTCTGTCTGCATCCTGCCTTTGGCTGGTCTCCCACAATCCTCTTTAACTCACCTGCAGTCCAGCTGAGCTCGAAGGTCTGCCCTTTCCTGTCTTGATTCTGCTTCTGCCATTCTCTCACCTGTGTCTCCCTTTGTACATTCTGCCCTTCTTTCAAGCTCAGATTTAATATTACCTCCTTGAAGCAGAGGGGGATCCCTCCACCCTGGTCAACCTGGCTATTTACCCACTGGGTTCTCCTGGGAGGGGCCTCTTCTGGCTGACCCTCATCTGAGAGCACGTATGAGATGTGCGATCTCAAATAGCCCGTATAATTGACGTTTGGTCTACTTAGACTACTGGGCCTGTGGTTAATATGTCCCTTGGTAGTCCCTATCAGTGCATAAGAACCAGACGCCCCCTCACCTTCTGCCTCATCCCCTCCCCCACAAACGGCGCCAGGACTCCCCACCCCCCACCCCACACACACAGGCCACCCTTGTTCTCTTGCTCAGCCCGCCTGGAGCACGAGGAGTTGTGTTGAGTTCACTATGGTTTTCTTGAGAGAGAGAGAGCGCATGCTGCACTGCACATCCTAAAAATACCCTTAAACCACCGGGTTCTTTTCATAAGTTCCAGTCCCTGATGGGCGCTGCACTCTCTCTCTCTCTCTCCCTCCACGTTTCCTCTTGTGCTTCTTCAGTCTCGCTAAAAGCCCTGCGTTCTGCACTCTGGACTCAGCAGAACAAACACTCTCCTCACAGCCTCATTCAGACTCACCATCGAACAAACTGTCCAGAAGGGGGCAGCCTCCAAGGAATAGGACCCTTGAGCACAGAAGGGAGTTGGACTGGAGCAGGGAAGCGAGCGGATGGAGGGCGGTTCTGAGAGGCAGGACCCAGGGAGAGAACGGACCTTGATTCTGGACGTTGTGGGAGCCCAAAGGCACCGGGCTGTGATGGGATGAAACTGGGGCAGGGGGTGTTTGCCCCCCGGTGAAAGAGCTTATTGATTGCTCTTTGGGTGCTTCTGGAGGGGGTGGGCTTCAGGCTGAAGTCCATTCCTCTCTCCTGTGTTGGGAATGTGAGGAAGCAGGAACCCCAGCTTCTCTCTCCCTCTCGGCATTGCCCTAGTACGTGGGGAGAGGATAGTTGGAGCAATGAAACATGGACCTGCCTGTGACTGTTGTAGGCAAACTGATGACCCCCAGAACCTGTGACTGTGTCATGTTAGGTGGCAAAGGGCAACTAAGGCTGCAAATTGGCTTAAGGTTGCTAATCAGTCGACTTTGAGATGAAGAGGTGATCCTGGCTGATCTGGGAGGCCCCAGTGTAATCACCAGGGTCTTTGTAAGTGAAAGATGGACATAGCAGAGTCAGTATAGCGATGATGCAATATGAGAAAGACTCGACCAGCTATTGCTGGCTTTGAAGATGGATGGGGCCATGAGCCAAGGAATGTAGATGGCCTCTAGAAGCTAGAAAAGGTGAGAGAACAGATGCTTCCCTAGAGGCTCCAGAAGGAACTTAGCCCTGCCAACACCTTGCTTTTGCAATGAGACTAATTTCAGACTTCGGATCTCTAGAACTATAAGATAATACAACTGTGTTCTTTTAAGCCACCAAGTGTGGTAATTTGTTACAGCAGCCACAGGAAACTCATATAGAGCGCTTCCCTTCCTGCACACTTGAGGCTGAACCCTGCTACACTTCCTTGTGCTTCTGGGGGGTTGGTTGGCAGGTCCAAGGGAGACCAGAACCTTCTCTCCTGCTGCGCAGCTGAAGAGCTTTGTTTGGCTAGGTTCCTCGCAGGGAGTGGGGAGCTGTCTAAGTGCTCAGAGGCAGGAAGGAGGAGGGAGAGGCCCAGGCCAGACTTTGCTGTTTCTGTCCTGCACAGGAAACATCAGAGGGGCCCCACGGGGAGCCCTGACAGAGCGCCCCTAGGGGAGCAGTCACAGGGCAGCAGTGGGAAAGGTCCGCGGGGGTCCAGCTCTGCTCACCTGATGAGGGGGCTGGTCAGAGGCAAGGGTTGGCTGTTGTTGACGCTCTGGGTGACTGGAGACGAGGAAGTCAGACTGGCCGTTGTCATAGGTTCAGACTGGTCTGTCGTCATAGATTCAGTCGTGTTTGTTATCAGCAGTGTGGGTGGGGTTGTTGTATATGCTGCTAAACACAGAGCAGAGCATGGTTCTGAGGGGAACCCAGGTGGCTCCCCATGGCCTTCTCCAAACCCTACCCCAGGGATTGAGAACCTTTCTGTCTTAGCTTCGCCAGTCAGCCACATTGGACTTCTCTTTCATCTTTTTGGTTTATTATTCAAAACATAACATTACTTCATTTACAGAGAAACATCATTTTGCCCCTGTGTGAGGGATTTGGGGTGGCAAGCTACGTAGGCAATTTACAAATACTCAGTTTAGCCTCAGAGTCCTGCTTGGCACAGCTGAGCATGTAAGAACCAAGTTCCCACTCCTTGGAGTTTTAAATTGGCCAGGCCAGCTCTTTTCCGAGTCTCAGCCTTGGTCAAAGCAGACTCTGTGCCACCTGCCCTGATGCCGTGTGACCTGTGGGGCTGGCTGCTCCGGGCTTCCTCTCTCTCCTGCAGCCGGGCCGAGTGCCAGCAGCCTCTGCTTTCCGCTGGAGTCCTTCCTGTCTCCCAACGGCTTCCTCGTCTCACCATCCCTGCCCCATAAAGACTTGTCTGGCTTGCAGCGTCCCAGCCTCCAAATCTCCTGCTACCAACTGCTCCACTCTTCTACACTTCCACCCCACCTTGGTTGTCTTTTTCAACTAACTTCTGGAACATTCTAAAACCAGCATACTTCCCCACTGCACACACATGCACACCATATTTGCCTATACCAAGTTTGAAGAGACTTTTCTCTGCTTTATAAATGGGCTCATGAATGACAGATACACTGCTCCCCTATGGTCTGTGTGTGTATATTAGTGGGGGGGCGGGGAGGGGAGTTTTCTTGGTGCCCAAAGTAGAGACAAGATTGAAGGATCTGGAGGCGGAGCTGTGGGCGGGAGGCTAGAGCCTGATTCTCTTTCCAGGCCTCTGTCCCCGGGAGGCCCGCTTGCCTCTGGGGCAAGTGTGGCGGAGCCCAGAGTCCCTCCTGAGGCTGGGAGGCAGCTGGAGGAGGCCCGTGGGAGCCACTGCATTATGGCGGATCCTGCCTCTCCTTCTTCCGGGAAGGAGTTCAGAGTCCCTCACCCACTCCTTTGCCCTTAATGTTGCCAGAGGAGGGAGGGGAAGAGAGAGAGAGGGCCAGGGTCTCTTGCCCCGTAGCTGAGACCATCAGGATTGTGGCTTTCTAGCTCTCCAGCCCTCGCTGCACACCTGAGAAGGCCCCCGGTCAGGCTGGGGCTGCTCTGAGGGTGGATGTGAATGTCCGACTGACCTGCAAAAGAGGACCTGCCAGAGAGGACCTGCCTTCCGCGGACAAGCCTGTCCAAGCCGAGTCTGTCCTCTGCTCCCCCCAGTGACAATGGTGGAGATGTGCGAACATGCCAAGGCTCGCTCTTTCAATCTTCCCAGACTCTTGTGCACCCTCCCCCACGTGCACACACACATGCACTCGTCCGCACAGATACACACGAGCACATGCACACGAGGCAAGTTTCGAGACTCCTCTCCAGCCCTCGGGGTGGAGAGAGGAAAAGTTCTGAGTCCTCTGGGGGTCAGTACCAGGGCCTCAGAGTACAGGAGGGAGTAGTTCCTACCTGGATCAATGGTAACTTTTACTTGGACCCCCCGGTCAATTCCGTATCTCTCAATCCCACACCAGTAGGTGTCTTCGTCGTCACTCCTGAGCTTTTCCATGGTCACAGCGAACGTGCGGCATCTGTGATCATCCTTGATGGACACTCGGTCCTTCTTCACCTCTTGCTTTGACCCAGTGGTTTTAACAAGGATTCGGCAGGAATGCCAGGCGTTTCCACGGCCCCACCACTTCTTGTAGGTCTCCCACCCTGAATTGTAGTGACACTCAATGGTCACCGAACCCCCTTCGGGGCCGCTCACTGTCCCCGGACCATGGATGGAGAAACAGCCTAGAAAACAGAAACTCAACATCCATCTCCTCCTTCCCTGAGTCCAGGGCTGGCCCGGGCGCTGCTCGGGGCTTCTGGCACCTCCCCGGGGGTTGAGCAGGAGCCTTTGCCCTCGCTGTAGGGCTCTCAAAACCCCGCAGCCCGATTGTTCCTCAATCCTCTGCGGTATTTCTTTTGCTGTCACCTCTCTTGCAAAGGTCCCCTTTGGGTTCCTAACTGCCCACACGGTGGCCTCTGCTCACTCCGCATCCTGCTGACCACCGACTACTGCCTCATTTTGGAAACTCTCCCCTCCCTTACCCTCAGGCAACACCTTGTTCCTGACCAGCCCTTAGTCCACACTGCAGCCACAGGCTCATTTCTGAATCTCAGAGCTGGTGAGGTAGACATCTTGACCCCCTCCCACTCCCACTCAGCGAGACACTATACCCACAACCCAAAAAACCCTCGCCCTCTGAATCCACACGTGTGATAAAGTTCCATGGAACTGAACACACACTCCTGCACACACGCAACACACGCACAATTTTTTTTTAACCTAAAAACCATGCTCTTTTGTGTCTCATAACTTTGCACAAGCTGTTCCTTCTGCCTGGAATGTTCTTGCTTCTCTGCTTGAAGGAGTCAAAGCCTTAAAATTCATCCCTCAAGGCTTGGTTCAACTATGGTCTCTTCTAAGGGTTCTCTGACTCTGCAGCCAGCTCCGCCCCTCGCCGGGGCCACCAGACCGCCTTGTCCCTGACTTGTTGTTGTGCTTACTACACTGGACAACAGTCTGGTCTTTGGCTCGTCCAGGGCAGAGACTCAGGCAGGCCGATGTGCGGCACCCCAGAGAGCCTGTTGCACCCTGGTTTTGCTGCTGTCTTCCTTCCTGTACTCTGAGCTCCTTGGAAGAGAGATTCTCAAGTCTAACTGCAAGTCAAGACCAGATGTGGAGGCTTTCAAAGGGTCCAGATCCCTGAGCTCTGCCATGACCGAGTGCGTCTGAGCTGGAGTCTGAGCATCTGTGCTCTTTAAAAGCTCATTGGGGATTTGTGCATTTACATATGTGTGTATATATGAGTGCGTATGTGTATCTATGTGTGTATATATGAGTGCGTATGTGTATCTATCTATCCATCCACTCATCCATCCATCTGTCATCTGTCTGTTGATCTGTCTGCCAGGGTTGAGACACAGTCCCCTAGATACCTAGTATCCTTTCTTTCCCCAACACCTGACTTAGGACCTGTCAGATAAAACTTTTTAAGCTGTTTTTAAATGAATAAGCGTATGGATGAGTGAATAGGCCCTGCCATTTTCCCCTAGGACAGACACTCTCCGTGTCCTGGCCCAGTCCTGCAGGCTCCAGATCCTGAAGCCTCAGCCCCACTCACCCGGGATGATGAGAAGGAGCAGAGCCGGGAGCAGCCGCATGGTCCTGCCTGCCTGGGTTCTCTCCCTGTGATCATCAAATGCCAGCTGCCCTCCAGGGCCTTGGACTGAGCCCAGAGGCTGACTGCCTTCTATTTGTCTAAATCATTATGTTTAGTTTCTCTCATCTACTTCTCTTAATTTTTTTTCCAGTTACTTCCTAGTTTCATTAATTAGGAGAAAAGCAGTGTCATCCTTTGGGAGTGTATGACTTCTGTGATGATGTGTCTTCAATGATTTTGCGGAAGCAAAGCATCCAGGCCTGGCCAGGGTTCCACTCGCAAGTGTGTGGGAGGAGCCGAGCAGGTGGCTGCCAGCAACACAGGGCGTGAAGTGCAGTGGGGCCTGGGAGAGAGGAGCTCCCAAGGCGGGTCCAAGGAAGGGACGGAGACAGCTGGATCCGCATGCTGGACTGCAGCGCTCAGGGCTCAGTCAGGCTCGCTGGGGAACAGACCCATCCTAAACCTCCTTCTGGGAAGCCCCACCACAGTGCATCTCAGACCGCCCTTCCGGCCCTAAGCCAGACTCCCTCCCTGAGCCTGACCCGCTGCCCCTCCCTCGGGACACCCTCCTCTGAGGTCCTGAGTCACTCGGAAGCAGAGGCTGCCATGGGAAGATATCAGAAGGAGAAGTGTCCTGTTCCCCTCAGCCTCATTTTGCCCAAGACGCTTCCCCTCTCATCTCTCTGCATAGTTCCCCTGGCTGTGGGCTGACGGCCACCTCACTGCACTGAAACTGTTTATTCTAATGGCTTCCTAAGTAGCTTTCTCCACTTCTTCCCTCTTCCTTCAGATGTCCCCTCCCTCCTCTGTCCCCTGCTCCCTCTCCCTGTCTTCTCTCTCCTTTGCTGAAGCTCTCTCCTTACTCTTAGCCCCTTGCCCCCAGCGTCTTCTGGAGTCTGTCCTTGATGTTATTCTCTCTGGGAGCATCCCTGTCCTGCTCTCTGGCATCACCTCCCGGCACAGGACTGTCACACGCACACCTCCTGTCGCCCCCATCTCCCGGCTCAGTTCTTGGCTTTCATTGCCAATGCCTATTGGTGCTTTTGTAGAACTTTTCACCCTGTTAGCAGCTCAGACGTGCTCAAAATGAAATTCCTTGTCATCTCCACTCCTTGAATTGTCTGTCACAACACCTGGGTCACGGGCCGGGGTCCTCCCCATCCTGCCCACCCCTGCCAGACTAGCCTTTCTAAGAGGACGCCTGTTGAGCCTTCCTCCTGACACCTGCCACCCTTAGGGGGCTCCTCGGGGGTGGGGGGCTTGAAGGTGGAGCTGCAAAGGCTTTAGCAGCAGGAGCAGGAGACCATGCGGTGGGCCATTTCCAGGGAGGTTGTGGGGGAGGCGGGGAGGCTGAGCAGCCTGTTTATCCTCACATTTGAGGGCTGAGCCTTCTGGGCTGGGGTGTCCTCGTGAGCCTGGGGCTTCTGCCTGCAGCCAAGAACTTATGGAGGGGTCGGGGTCAGGACTACAGGAAACGCTAGCCTCCTCCTTTCCTCCCTCCCTCCCTTTCTTAACAGTTTTAATGAGGTGTAATTGGGATAAAATAAACTGCATACATCTGAAGTGCACAGTTTGAAAAGCTTTTCTTGTTGTTTTTCTTATTTTTTTCAAACTGGACATACAGTAAAATCCATTTTGTTGGGTGTGTAGTTCTGTGAGTTTTAATACACGCATCGCTTCGTGGAACCACCACCATGAACATGCAAACAATTCCACCACCTCCCTCCATAGGTCTTTTACTCTGAATTTGTTTCTTTAGCGGCGGGCAGTCAAGCAGGTGAGGTTAAGACTTCCAGGGCTGACCCGCCCTCTGTGCCCCGCCGTCCCACCGTAGTTCAGCTCTCTGAGCCTTTGGGATGCATTCGGATCTGGCCCGTGTGCGCCACCCAGTGGCCAGTCTGTGACCTGCGCGATAATCTTCCCCAAATTTCTCAGTCTTGGGGAGACTCTTCAAGGTCTGACCCAACAGGCACAGCTAGGGGTGAGCCTGGGAATTCTAGGGTCCCTTTCTTGAGCTGCTTACCTTTCTTGATCTCCCCAACACCCCTTACCAGCTTTCAGAGCCCTCTACCCCGCTTCCTGGTCCTTTGGCTGGAAAGCTGGGGCTTTTCCCACCTGATATGCTGCATACATATGTCCTGTGACTGGGTCAGCCTCCAGGACCAAGCAGAGGGAGAATAAAGAGTGAGAAAATGCAATGGTATTTCCTCCCATGTCTTCAGACCACAGCTCCTCCCGTCAGAGGGGAGGTTCCTCCTCAGAGTTCCAGGTGCTGGCCCCCGCTGCTGCAGATGCAGTTGCAGCTTCTGTCCTGAGGCTTGCTGCTGAGTGGGTGGAGGGAAAGAAAACACACGCCAAGAAAACTCCAGGAATCCGCCCCCTCCCCCTTTCCCTTAGGGATCCCTCCCTCTGCTCTTCCTGAGCTCTTATAATCCCTGCTGAGGGTGCAGCCTCAGGTCGTGGGCTGCAGGGTTTGTGCCCAGGCAGGAGGATAAAGAAGGAAAGAAACCCAGAAAACTCACACCTGGATTGGTCCTGCCCATTCTGCTTTCCTTCCCTAACCTTCCTGCCACCATTCACTGTGCAGAATCCTCCGACAGCGGCTCCACGCGCTCTGTCTGGGTTCTTGGTTGCAATTAGTAGGAGAGATCTGTGGAGTGTGTTGACTTCATCTTGGAACTGGAAGCCTGCGGCATAGATTTACAAGAGCAAAAGGCTGGATACAGGCTCCGTGGCCATCAATACAGGAATAGTTAATTATGGTGAAGCCACACAGTGGAACATTAGGCAGCTATTCAAAGAATTAAGTGAACATACATGTAATGACTTGGAAAGATTTCCATGGGAAGATTTTAAAACTTTTTATTGGCATATAAAATTCATACAGAAAGTGCACACATCAAAAGCGCACAGATCAATAAATTTGCACGAATGAAGCACACTCATGCAACCGGCACCTAGATCAAGAAACGCTCATTACCATCCCCCCAGAAGGCCCTCTCGTGTTTCCTTCCAGCCACTATCTATGAAGTCATGGTGTCACAACTTCCTCCCAGTCACTGCCTATGAAGTCACCACCCCCCTGACTTCAGCCTGACGGCCTAAATTCATTTCGTTGGTTCTTCAACTTCATACAAATGAATCACACAGTGTACGCTCTTTCCTTCATTTGATGACCATTATGATTGTGAGATTCACCAACATTGTTACAATGTGGTTGTATTTGTAATTTGTTTATTCTGATTATGATATAATATTCCATTGGGTGAATATACCAAATTTATCCATTTGACTAATTTCAAGTTTTTGGCCATTATGGATAGTGTTGCTATGAACATTTTAGCCCATGCCTTTGGTGAACATCTGTATATCCTCCTTAGGAGCATTGAGAGGGACCCTCATTTCCTCTATTAAGAGGAACAATTGTGCTGTAGGGCCAGGATCTCCTTTTAAGGGAATGAGGCCAGGACCCCAATTTAAGAGAAGCGAAATTCAGTCAGGGTTAAATTCTTAGCCTTGGCAAGTGCTTTAAGACCAGTGTTTCCTGATCGAGAAAAGTGAGCCCCTGAGACTCGGGATGGCACCTCTGCCCACGCACTTGAGCCCTCGATCCGCTCCGCTTCCCTGGACCCTCCAGGTCCACAGAAGCGGCTCATCTGCTTGTTAGGAGACAGCAGCTCCCCGTGTTGAAGATTGTACGGAAGTGAAAGGAAGCAGACCTCACAGGACACTGCCCACCTGCGAAGGGTCTACTTCAAGAATCTGCCCTCATTCTCCCTCCTGACCACAAGACCAATAACTTAGGTTAAAGTCAGCATGGCGCACCTGGGGATATGCTGGGCTACAAAGGGAAGAGGAAACCAATATGTACTGGCAGGAACCAGAAGAGCATGCCTGGGAGTGGATCTCGAGGTACTGGCTCAGGGTGCTGGAATATAACGCTGAATTAGGAAGTCTGTCAACATAGGGGCACTCAGACACACAATATAGGGACACCCAACACACTTGCAAGCCTGGGAGACTGGTACTAGTGTGCGGCTGGGATGGTTCTTAGAAGCTTGGAAGCAATGAAGTCCCACATTAAACAAAGAAAAGATGCCAGAATGGCCATGGCAGAGCGTGGAAGGAGGGGTCAAAGGCTCAAAGAATGTAGTGTGCTAAAATGGAACTATTATATTTGACCTGGAAACCCACCAAATGCATGTTATCCTTCAGAAGTCATGGAGGACACTTGATTTACAGGAAAATAAGAAATATGCTGGTGAGGGGACATGAGCGTTGTCAAGAGGCTTGGTAGTGGCTGTCGTCTCTGTGCTGGGTCCATGGTAGGTGATGCCATGACATAACTGAGCTGGTAAGATCAATGGGGCTATGAGAATTCCAGAACGGCAGAGAGCAGGTGGAAGCACTCACCTGTCTGGGGCAAGGTGAGCATAATTAGTGGACCAGATAGCAAGTTCTGAATGGCGCCCACCTGCAGCGATCAGTGAAGACAACTAATAGAACAAGAGACAAGATCAAGATCCTAGAGGCCAGGGCCCGGCCACGTGGCCAAGTGGTTAAGTTCATATGCTCTGCTGTGGCGGCCCAGGGTTTTGCTGGCTCGGATCCTGGGCACGGATGTGGTGCCGCTCGTCAGGCCACGTTGAGGCAACATCCCACATGCCACAACTAGAAGGACCTGCAACCAAGATATACAACTATGTACCAGGGGGGATTTGGGGAGATAAAGCAGGGGGAAAAAAAAAAGATTGGCTACAGTTGTTAGCTGAGGTGCCAATCTTCAAAAAAAAAAGATCCTACAGGCCAGAGAGGTGACTCAGTGGCCATTTTCTTGGTTTCTGGAAACATAATAGAAATAGATACACTTAGCAGTTGACACAACTCTCTTATTAATTTTTTGGCCTGTGAGGTAAGTGATTATATTTGGGAGGGTCAAGTGGAAGCCCCTGAAATCGCCCCTCTGCTGTGACCAGAACGGTAAATCAAACATAACCTCACATTCACTGAGAAATACCGAGACTAGTGCCACCCTCCAAGACCTTAAGGACACAGGGTGGTGGTTCCAGCGTATCGCCTTTAATTCACCAGGGACAATGGGCTAGTGAAAACCAAAGAGTGGCCAAATCGCAGCTTCTGTGCCAATAGCGGTCACTTTACTAGAGCAGATGAACACAGCCCGGTGTGTTGCGTGTGACTGCTGATCTGGCAAGTGTATCCTTGTCAATGCCCGTCAGGAAGGAGGAACAGAGGCAGTTTGCCTTCACTTAGCATGGACAACAGTCTACTTTTGTAGTCTTATTCCAAGACTGTGTTAATTTTCTTCTCTGTCTCTGTGTAGTCCTAAGGAACCTGGGTCATCGGGACATGGCTCAGGAGATAGTTAGCCCACTGTGTTGATGATATCATGTTAACAGGACTTCATGACAAGAAATGACAGCCAACCAGATGTGCTCCAGACACTGGGAGATAAACCCTACCCAGATTCAGGACCTACCGTGTCCGAAGTTTCAGAGATCCAGTGATCTGGGGCATGCTGGACGTACCCGCAAGGTAGATGTCCTGTAAAAGATATTGCCTTTGGCCATGCCTCCCTCTCACTGACCTGCCTGATAGAACTCAGGGGAGACTGAACTCAGAGTCAGCAGGAGTGTGGAGCGTGTGGGTGAGGAGTGGGACTAGAAACTGCGGCGGCCACTGGAGCTCGGTTCGAGGCTGTTCCCCAAGCATGCGTGTCCCGGCGTATTCCCCAAGACTCCGCAGGCAGACATCCCCTCCTAGGCCAAAGGGCAGAGAGCTTTTTAAGTCAATAAAATACCAGGGCAAACCATGCAGTTAGAGAGGATGCTGGAGGCCAGGTTCAATTCCCTTCTTTCTAGAATTTAGAAGACTCTTCTCTGCCTGCTCACCTTAAAGCGTAGCTTACAAGTCAAGAAGGGATCGAAGGCTCAAGAAACTGGCACCATAAAACAATGATTTTACACACTCCTGCTCCTACTTACTCAGAGGCCTCGGTCAGCTATATTTTGGCTCACTCTCAGTTATGATCGGACAACCAAGAATTACCAGACATTTGTGGAAGGCTTGTGACATCAAAGAAAAGGACCAAACCGAGCCAAGCCAAAAACATGAGCACAGTGGGAAGGGATGTGATTCAGAAAACAGAAGAGAGTTTTAAAAACATCAGCGATTGGAGAACCAATAAAGGAGCTTTTTAAAATAAAAATGTAATTTCTAAAATAAGCATTTCATCCAAGGGTTGGAAGAGAAAATAAAAGCACAAAGACAAAACAGAAATCTCCCAAAACCCACAAATACAAAAACACAAAAGAAAGAGACCTTCAGAATCGATTCAGAGAGGAGACGCGGGGGGTGGGGGGGGGGGGTGGGGAGCAGGGGACAGAGGAGGGAGGGGACATCTGAAGGATGAAGGAAGAGGTTGGGAAAGCCACTTAGGAGGTCATCGGCACAAGCAGTTTCGGTGCCTCGAGGTGGCCATCAGCCCACAGCCAGGGGAACTATGCAGAGAGATGGGAGGGGAAGCATCTTGGGCGAGATGAGGCTGAGGGGAAAAGGCCACTTCTCCTTCTTATAATCTTCCCACGGTGGCCTCTGCTTCCGAGTGACTCAGGACCTCAGAGGAGGGCGTCCAGAGGGAGGGGCAGCAGGTAAGTCTCAGGGAGGGAGTCTGGCCCGGGGCCGGAAGGGCGGTCCGAGATGCACAGTGGTGGGGCTGCCCAGAGGGAGGTTGAGGATGGGGCTGTTCCCCAGCGAGCCTGGGTGTGAGCCCTGAGCGCTGCAGTCCAGCGTGCGGATCCAGCGGTCTCTGTCCCTTCCTTGGACCCGCCCCTTGAGCTCCTCTCCACACTCCCCGCTGCCGCCTCTGCCCACTCCCCCTGGCAGAGATCCCTCAGCTCCACATGTGCAAACCTGACCAGGCAGGGATCCTTTTTCTTTCCCACATGCACAAAGGTCTTGACGCAGATTCCACCACATACTATACAGAATGACACCCTCTTCCCCTAATATGTAAAATGCAGAAGTAGGTGTAGACACAATAGGAAGTGATTGATTGAGAAACTCAAAAGTGACTTAAGCAGCTTCCCCCGAATCTTGAAGGGATTCCAGCGTTCACTCCTGAGCTTGGCTTCAAGTCCTAGAGGGTGTTGGGCGCTTGTTAGCACCAAGGATGGGAGACATGACCGTGTGGCTGGCTCCTGTTCTGCTCCTTCTCTTCCTCCCGGGTGAGTGGGGCTGTGGCTAAGAAGCTGGAATGACTGAGGCTGGGCAGGAAACAGAGAGGGTCTGTTCTGCGGCGGGGAGACACGCCAGGGGACATGGCAGGGCCAATTCATTCAACCAGACACTTATTCGTTAAATAAAAACCAAGTTTCTGCTATCTTACAGGTCCTATATTAGGTGTTAGGAAACAAAAAATATAACCAATTGCCCCCCTTTTAGGAGAGTGTTTCTCCACCCTGGCTGTTCTCCATAAATAGATGGACACACTAATGCGTGAATCCATCCTTGACGAACTTGTGAAGAGCACAGGTGCTCAGGCTCCAGCTGTGACCCACTCACCTTGGTGGAGCTTGGGGACTCGGATGCCTTGAAAGCCTCTGCAGCTGGTCTTGACTGGCAGCCAGAGCTGAGAACCTTTCTTCCTAAGAGCTCAGAGTACAGGAAGGAAGACAGCAGCAAAACCAGGGTGTCACAGGCTCTCTGGGGTGTTGCTTGACCCCGCGCATCGGCCTGCCTGAGTCTTTGCTCTGGACGAGCCAAAGAGCAGAAGGTCTCCCAGTGAAGTAAGCTCAACAGCCAGGACACATACAGAGTGCTGTCACTGGGGAGGAAGGACCAGAGATTAGAAGGTGTCTCTTTCTGGGTTCCATGTCAAGTCCTGGGGGGACAGCTGGTGCTGGATGCTCAGAGAAGACAGGAGCTAGGGAGGCAGAACCATCTGGCTGCCCCAGCTCTGTGCCTTCTCATCCTCTCAGGTGAGTGCCACTGAGGAACCGGAACCACGGGGCTTGGGGCAGGATGCAGAGAGAGTCTCTTCTTGGAAGAAGGTTATCATGGGAGGTAAAGTGACCCCATTTACTCATCCATTGACTTGGTCAACATATATGCAGGAGAGGAAACTCTGGTAGGGAGATTTGCACGCAGAAAATTTACCGGAGAAACTTGCATGTTATTAGCTTAATTTGGAAGTTAATATGGGTAAAATGGGTACATGTGTATTACTCAGCTTGAGCTTCCACAGTGAAATACCATAGAGTCGGTGCCTTAAACAAGAGAAATTTATTTTCTCTCAGTTCTGGAGGCTGGGAAGTCCAAGATCAGGCTGCTGGCCAATTCAGTTCCTCTTTTTCTTTGTTCCAGAATCTTTTGTGTAAGATAGACATTATTTCTTCCTTAAATGTTTAGTAGATATCTCCATTGAAGCTGTATAGGTCTGGAGTTTTCTCTTGAGGAAGTTTTTAATAATGAATTTGACTTAATTAAATAGTTGTAGGATTATTTGGGTTTTTTATTTCTTTTTGTGCTAATTTGAGTATATATATATTTTTTTTTTAAAGATTTTTTTTATTTTTTCCTTTTTCTCCCCAAAGCCCCCCGGTACATAGTTGTATATTCTTCGTTGTGGGTCCTTCTAGTTGTGGCATGTGGGACGCTGCCTCAGCATGGTTTGATGAGCAGTGCCATGTCCGTGCCCAGGATTCGAACCAATGAAACACTGGACCGCCTGCAGCGGAGCGCGCGAACTTAACCGCTCGGCCACGGGGCCAGCCCCATGAGTATATATTTTTTTAAGGAGCTAGTTATTCCATCTAAAGTTTCAAATTTATTGACATAAACTTGTTTAGATATCCTTTTATTATCTTATCATCTTGGTTTTTTATCTTCTTCTTATCTTTCTATATGTGCAGGATCTGTAGTGATGTCTCCCTTTTCATTCCTGATGTTGCGTAGTTAGACCTCCTCTCTTTCTATCATGAGTATCTTTCTAGGGTTTTTCTTTTTTAAGCAATTGTTGGCTTTGTTGGTCTTCTGTATTTTGCATTTATTTTCTTCATTATTTCCTTCCTCTACTTTTTTCCTGTTCTTCTCTTACTTCTGCTCTTTGTTATTTTTTTCAAGTTTTGAAATAGATGTTTGGCTTATTAAATTTACTCTTTTTTCTCTTTTCTAATATATGCATTTAAAACTATAAAATGTTGACTCAGGGTGGAATGATGTCAGCATCATAGCAGCGTAAATTGTCCCTCCTTTTTGCCCATTCTTTTTAACAACTGAAATTTGGCACCCATCAATGAACAAAAGTGCTTCAGTGGGAGTTGTGGGATCCAGCACCATACACCAAAGGACCTGGAGGAGTCTTGCCCACTCGTGCATTAGGCAATAGGCAGACAGACCTCGGTAGAGGGTGTGGAAACAGCAGAAGCCAGTGAACCGGCCCCAGCACCTCTCAGCAGCAGACGGGGAAAATGTGGAGAGTGCTGACTTGGGCAGACACTCACAGATGACAGAGCCTTTGTAGAAATCCAGGATTCTGGAGAAGAGATCTCAGCATTTTGTTGGATAATCAACAAAAATGCATGTTTGGATGCACTGGAGAGGGTGGGAGGATCTTTGCTACAGCCCCCTCACCCCCAAGATGGCACGGCACGGGGCTGAATAGTCAGTCAAGAATACTTTGACAAAGTTATCCTTCAGAAATGAAGGAGAAATAAAGACATTCCCAAAAAACAAAAGCTGAGAGAGTTCATCACCTCTAGATCTGTCTTAAAAGAAATGCTGAAAGGAATTCTTCCAGCTAAAATGAAAAGATGCTAATTGGTAACACGAAAATGCTCGAAAATATATGTTACAATCTTGTTGTCTTGAATAGGACTGTTTTTCTTCTACGCTATATCTCGAAAGTTTTGATTTGTAGTATTTTTCTTTTCCTTGTTAAAATATCTAAAAATTTTTCTTGCGATGCTTTTCTTCACTCATTGGTATTTAGAAAAATATTTCTTAACTTATGAACATGTGGAAATGTTTTAGTTATGTTTTGTTATTTTGTTATTCTGTCAGTTGAATTATAGTCAGAGAACATACACAATCATTTCAATCCTTAGAAATTTTTAGAGAGGTGTTTCATGGCTGATCTCTTTCACGGTCAATTTTTATAAACATTCTCTGCGTGCTTTAAAAAAAAGCGTTTGAATTTGTTGCAATCATGAGTCGCAACATGCTTCTACTCCATCTCAGACTGCTGCTGCAACAATCACGCCTGTTGTTTATTGCCAGTAAATAAATTGTCAGAGTCTATCACTCCCGTGAATGGCTCTGGCTTTAGTTCAGTAAATTTAAAGAATTTTTGACGGAAGTCCCATTTAAGTTATTTCCACCAATCTGGATGCCTTCAAGCAAAAGAATGACTGAAAATGCCACGCAGGCTAGTGTTGTCCTGGAGCAGGATGTTCAAAGAGAAGAGCTGATAAGGCATGTCATGGTTCTCATTTTTTAACTCTGGCTTGAATCCTTTCCTTGGGTTTAATAAAAGTCTGACAAGACACAAGAGGCATGGCATGGGTGCCGCTCTGTTTATAACTAACTTTGCTTGCTTCCATCTTACCAGATCACTTTCACTAGGAAGTTTGGACCTGGAATTTACAGCAATTCCAGGAGAAAATGGGCTCTGTGTGATGTGGATTCCATAGCACATGCAGACCATTTGGCATCACTGTTCTGGTCAGCTTCAAGGAGTTCCTGCCAGGGTGGTGGACTACAGCATAACCACTAAGAACACCTTTCCAGAGCTGTGTGATGTGGATGCTTTGGCCGAACCTCCCGAGGTCATCAGTGCAAAGTCAGGGCAGCAATCATTCTCCTGTGGAAATGGGTCCTCTGGTATTTCCTCCCCATCAGACCAGCATAACACAGAGATGGCTGCAAAAGGACATTGCTGGGAATATAAAGATTTATCGGCTATAGATTGGGGAGAGGGTGAATTACAGGAAGCTAGTATTGCTCAGTGTCCACATTCTTGTGTCTTTGAGGTCCGTAGTTGTGCTCTTAGGTGATTTTCCTGGTGGTTTTGACCCAGTAGAATTTTGAAGGACAAAAGGTCTGTCTTGTGGAAAGTGCATTCCTTCCTCGACTGCTATTCACCTCAGCAGGCGCTTGGATTTATTGGAGCTACTCACAATGCAGGAGGCCGTGGCCCTGCCCTCAGGGGAGGAGGTGACAGGTACATGGGTTTGTGTTTTCCAGGCTCATTTGACATCAGGGGTCCAAAAGTGATGAGAGGTCCAGAGCGGGGCTCGTTGACTGTGCGGTGTCGCTATGGCCAAGGATGGAAGACCCACAGGAAGTGGTGGTGTCGAGGAGTTGATTGGGCTAGCTGCAAGATCCTTGTTATAACCACTGGATCAGAGCAGGAGGTGAAGCGGGACCGTGTGTCCATCAGGGACGATCAGAGAAACCTCACGTTCACCGTGACCATGGAGGAGCTCAGGCGAGACGATGAAGACACTTACTGGTGTGGGATTGAGAGAACTGGAACTGACCCGGGATTCCAAGTTAAAGTGACCATTGACCCAGGTAAGAGTGTGTGTTTGGATGTGTCTCTTCAGGGCCTGCTCTGTTCTGGTCCCTGAGGTCCCTCTCCAGTGACTCAGCTGTCACTCAGAGTGAACTGTCATAGAGGGCGCTTGAGTCCTGAGGTCTCCCTGACTGACCGCCTGGGATCGGGAGGGGCAGGGCCTCTCTAGATGCTCTCCTGGCTCCCAGGGCCTCCTCCAGGATGGGCTCAATCCTTTCTAGGCACATGCTTTTCCTCTGCACAGCTCAGTGCCTGAGTCTATTGCCTGTAGAGATCAAGGCGATGGTCCCAGCTTCAGCCCATGGGCCAAAGGCACCCTCTTCCATGGGACCCAGAGACCCCACCCAACAACTGCCAATGCTCTTCTGGGACCTCTAGAGCTCAGATGTCCCTGCTCTTTGTGGAGTTTGGGGCTGGGACTTCATAGCTGCTGTCCCCATTCCATATCTAGTCTCGGGGGAAAGAGGTCCAGCACAGTCGTGATGCTGTAGTTAATTGCTGAGGTCTGGAAAGACCTCCACAGTCGAAAGGCTGCATTTCTGGTGCCTGAAATCCCATCACGAGCTATTCATACGTCTGGACTTAGTGATGTTCTCTTCCTAAGTCCTTCTCGAATGCAAGCACTCCTGGGAGGGGCAGTTCAGAGGTCCCAGTGCCTCAATTTTCAGAAGTCCCTGTTGGGCTCTGGTTCTGCTGACCCTCAGACAGACAGTACCAGCTCACGGCACACTTGTGGCAAAGGGGGAGCACATGTCACAATGTCCCCATCACCCCTGTGAGGTATGTTATACTGGCAAAGCGCAGCACAGTCGTCATCTCATAGAATCCTGACAATATTCCTGAGAAGTAGCTGTGCCCATCGTGGAAGCTTAATAACTTGCCCAAAGTAAAATATCTTCCTGAACCTTATGATTTTGTTCGGGGCTGGTCCTGACCTTAGACGTCACAGATCTTGCGTGTGTTGGCCACTGGGCAAGCCCCTATTGTGCTCCTGTCCTTGCTGGATAAATAAGACAGGGTGACGCATTGGCTGAGCCCTTGTCATGAGCAGCAGGAATGTTTAAGTCCAGCTGAACTCCAGCTCCCTCGTCCTGAGCCATCCTGGGCCCCCTCTCACCTTCCAGGGCCTGCTCAACGTCCTCCCTGGACCCGTGCCCAGCCCCACCTGCCTCTGAGGCTCTGCGTCTCCTGGAGGCCATGGAGATATGAGCGGTCCAGGCTATCAGCCCCTCCCCATGGCCCTGCTCCAGGCTCCTCAGGCCAGGGCAGCCCTCAGGCCCCCAGACTCAGAGCCACGTGCAGGGCTGCAGGTGTGTTAGCAGGCAGAGTAGTGTGTAATCTGGTCTGTATGCCCAGCGCCAACTACAGTGTCCGCCATGTCCACAGCACCAGTCACCCCAGAAGAGACCCGAGTCTCCCCAACTGTGACCAGCCACCACTCCGAGAGCAGGTAAGCCAGCTCTGATGCTGCTGTTCCCTGTGCCCACTTGGCCCAAACTCTTCCAATAGGGAGACCCTTTGTGGTCCCAGGTCCCAGCCAGAGCTTGTCTCTGGACCCTCAGGCTCCTTCGAGAGGCTGATGCTGTGGGGGGCTCTTCCCACTTGCTCTCAGGTGGCACAGTGTCCTTAGCAATCCCCAGATCCTTCCTCCTGGAGCTCAGTGCAATTTGTAGGTCTGTTGGATGATTCATTCATCCATCCCGTTTGTACTGAGTAACTTCTCCATGGCTGGCACCGTATCCAGCTTCGGGGACAGAGACATGGAGCATCCCCCTTGGAACTCAGAGATCAAGTGCTCAGTGTGGGAGACTGACAAGCAGGCAGTCAGTGCAGATGGCATGGCCAGTGTGTGTGGGCACAGGGGTTGTGGGGACACAGGGATGATGGCTCTCGGTCCCAAGTGTGGGAGAACAGGGAGGGCCTGGGGAAGACCTCTTTCCCTTGGTTACTGTTATGGCAAGAACAATGACACTGATATTTCCTTGTGTCTCTAGAGCATGTGGCAGCTCACAGAGGGCTTTCCTGCCCATTATTCTATCAGTTCTTTGACCTGGCCTACCCCACCTCATGAGGAGCAAAAGGCAGACATGCATGCTCCCATTTTACAGAGGAAGAAACTGAGCCTCACTCATGCTTCTTAGCGCCCTGCCCAGCTATTGAAGGCAGAGGAGCTTTCTAGAAGCTCAGGGGCCCTTTCATTTCTTCCTTTTACTCTCCTTGGCCCTCTTGACTTTGTTTCTAGATCTGCCGCGATCTCCTACTGCTGGGCCTTCCCACAGAATTCCCTAGGGGGATCCCCAGTCTTTATACCCCCAGGGATCCCTTTCCTTCCATTTTTCCATTTGTTTTCTGTTTTGAAAGTTCCTTTCTACCAAACTGCTTTCAATAACTAATAGCTAAGGTGTTTCTTCATTTTATGAATCAAAGGCATATGTAAGTGCCAGTTAGGGTCTTTGGTCAGCATGAGATGGATAATTCATTCATTTATTCAACAAATAACCCTTGAGGACCCATTCATGCCCAGCATCGTGTTAGAGAGATGAAAGGATACTGGGATGAGCAAATAATCAAGCTGTCTACCCCCAGGTACTTACAATCAAGAGATGATTAGTGTACCAAATAGAGTTAATTAATTAATTGATTGATGAATGCATTCTGCAATCTTCCGCGAATAGCGATGAATAGGAGGTAGTCCTTGTATCAGTCAGCTCGGGCTATAACAATGGGCCACAGGCTGGGCGGCTTCGACAACAGACGTTTATTTTTGCGCAGCTCTGGAAGCCAGAAGTCTGAGATCAAGGTGCCGGCAGGGGTGACTCCTTTAAGGCCATCTTCTCCCTGTGTCTGCACATGGTTTCCCCTCTATGTGTGTCTATGTCCTACTCTCTTATTCTTCTCATAAGGACTCCAGTTGTTTCCCTCCCAATAGAGCAAGCGAGAGGGAGACAGTAAGAAATGAGGAAGGAGAGTTTGTGGGGAGTGGAGGCCATTGTCAGGGCCGTTGTGGGGTCCCAGGCTTGCCCTCACATAGATTCTGGGAACCCAGGACCTGGGCACAGGGGGAGCTGAGAAGAGGGAGCCTGGGAGGCAGATCATTTCCTGTCACCATGTCCCTCCCGCAGGTCCCTGCTCAGCAGCGTCCACTTCCTGCTGCTGCTCTTCCTGGAGGTGCCCCTGCTCCTGACCATGCTCAGTGCTGTCCTCTGGGTGAACAGACCTCAGAGAAGCTCCTGGGGGACGCAGAGTCAGCTGGGTCATGAGAACCAGTAACCCCTATGCTCATCGATGTCTTGTCCAGACAGAAAGACCCCCAAACAGAAGAAAAAGAAATTTTTGTCAGGAAATGACTGTGGTGAGCAGTGACTGTTTCCAGAGGCAGCGTGGCAAACAGTCCCATGGGCCACAGGAACCCACAGCTGTGATGCCTGGGCCTCTGGGACTCTCTCTGGTCTCTCTCTTCTCTGCAAAGTCCCCGCCTTCCTTCTTCCTGAGGCCTCCAATGCAGTAGAAAATACGGCTAGAAACACTTAGAGAATGCCTTTCCCCAGGGCCCCAATGCTTTGGAGGACGAACATCATCTCAAGTCTGGGAGCCACCTGCAACGTTAACGGACTTTCTTTTGCATTCCATGGGGTTCAGGGCTCCAGCTAATAATGGGTTTCAAACTTCTAGACCCCATGAAAATGGAAAAACTGAACTAAACCCTGGTAATATGCCAACCACGAGTGAAGACCTGAGGACTAGAGTTCCCCGCCCTGATGCATTTGTGCCCCTTGTGGGGAAGGAAATCCTGGCCCCAGCTCCTTCCCTCACCTCCTGGACGCCGCACTCCTGAAGATGAGATGGCATCACGTCCCCTCAATGTCACCATAACTCGTCCTGTTAGTATCTCCAAATTTTCTTCCCTCTTTTGAGAGTATTCAGTTTGGCTGCCACTCTCATTTTGGGGCACACAGGGAGATAAGCCACGCATTTTGGGGACTGTGGAGTAATCCGTGAATCAGACGCTGAAGCTATTACAGATCTGGCAACTGTGAGCCAGGGGTGGCTGGGGGCTGGATGAGGCCGGGAGCTGTCTCCTTAGCCTTCTAAAGAGCCCTAGACTAAGGTCCTGGATGTGGATGCAAGCTTCTCCCAAGGGTTGACTGTGGAGGAAGAGAGGCGGACACCAGTAAGCTGCTCCATAAAGAGAAAAGGAGAACTCTCTCCTTCCTCTCAAGTTCCCCCCCTGGACTTTTACTGCCGGGCAGCTTCAAGACCAAAAAAGGGGACCACTAGAGCAGAGGGACAGCCGACCAGGGGCAGGAGAAGCAGCCTCATCTGATTCTATCTGTATCCTTGAACTTCTGTACCTTCAGAATATTCTAGGTGTGGATCATCAAGTGACAGTTTTTTTTCCTGGGACACTGTGGGTTTTTCAGTTGCGGACTGCAAGATCTCTTTATTTCAGGATAGTTTTTCATTCAATTAAATTATTTTTACTTTTGGCCTATTTCTTCTCTTCTTAGAGAACGGCCAGTGTCCTTTCGTGGAATCAGCTTTCTCTCTCTCCTGTACCCAAGTCTGTGTCTCCAAGCGTTTTTCTATTGTGTTCATTTAGTCTTCACCTTACGAATTCCCAAAAGTCATCACATTTCTGCACTCTCAGTTTTGTGCTTCTTTCCCTGGGATCTTTCTCCCAGCACGCGAACTTAACCACTCAGCCATGGGGCCAGCCCCTCAATAGAATTTTATAGAAATTTTTTAGCTCTCCCACATTGTTTTTAAGTTCGTTCATAACCTTTTTAATATTTTTCTTTGCAATTGTAAATCCTTTCCCCCAGTGAATTGTCTAAGTGGTCTGTTGCTGATACATAAAAATGCTATCAATTTTAATGTATTTTTCTGGAAAGGGCCAACTTACTGAAACTCTTTGGTTGGTTGGTTGGTTTGAAATAGTTTGTATTGACTCTCTTTGCTAAGTGATTAGAGCAAATACATTAATAATGGCTCATCTCTGTCTCTGAGGATCTCCCTGCCCCACTCTGGTGTGGGGCCTCTGTGGCCCTGTTTGTCTTATGTAACATGCCAGCACCCTCCACAACAGCCACAGGACAAGGAGCTGGACTATTCTGAGCTCTGTTGATGTTCCTGGACTTAATTTTAAGAAGAATAGGAGCCATTGAAAGGTGTGGTTGTTGTTGTTCTAAAGATCATTCTGCCTCGAGTATGGGAAATGGACTGGATTTGGGCAAAACTGGAAGCAGAGAGAATATTAGGGCACAGATGCAATAATACGGAGGAAATCATAAGGGTACCTGGACTTGGGTATCTGCAATGGGTGTTGAGAGGAGGGGATACATTTAAGAGATATCTGGAAAGCGCCATCTTCAGGAGCTACTGAATGATTGACTGCGGGGCACGTGGGAGAAGAAGGGCTTGAAGGATGACATCCGAGCTTCCGGCCTGAGCAGTGGGGGGACGGGGATGCCATCTACTGATCTTGGGCACACAGGAGAAGGAGCCAGTTTGGAGGGGGAGGGAGAGGAAGAATGCAGTTTGGATAGGTTGAGGTGCCAATGACACATCCCAGAGGGGGTGCTGAGTAGGTGGTTGGATGCATTGATCTGAAACTTTGGAAAAATCTGTGAAGAAATAAATGACAACAAAAATACTAGCAAATCAAATACAACAAAACATTGAAAAGATCATACACCATGACCAAGTGGGATTCATTCCAGGGATGCAGGGATGGTTCAACATCCCCAAATCAATCAACGTGACGCACCACATTAACAAAATGAAGAGTGAAAATCACATCATCATCTCAATAGATGCAGAGAAAGCATGTGACAAGATACAGCATCCATTTATGATAAAAACTCTGAATAAAACGGATATTGAAGGAACGTATCTCAACATGATAAAGGCCATATATGTCAAAGCCATAGCTAATATCATTCTCAATGGAGAAAAACTGAAAGCTATCCCTCTGAGAACAGGAACCAGACAAGGATGCCCGCTTTCACTACTCTTATTTAACATGGTATTAGAAGGCTCAGCCAGAAAAGGGATCCAAATTTTGAAGGAAGAAGTGAAACTGTCACTATTTGCAGATGACATGATTTTATGTATAGAAAACCCTAAAGAATTCACCAAAAACTTTTAGATATAATAAATGAATATAATAAGTTGCAGAATGCAAAATCAACATACAAAATCCAGGTGTGTTTTTAATCATTAACAATGAAGTAGCAGGAAGAGAAATTAAGAGTACAATCCCATTTACAATGGTAACAAAAAGAATAAAATATCTAGGAATAAACTTAACCAAAGAGGTGAAAGGTCTGTACACTGAAAACTATAAAATATTGTTGAAAGAAATTGAAGAAGACACAAAGAAATGCAAAGATATTCTGTGCTCTTGGACTGGAAGAATTAACATAGTTAAAATGTCCATACTTCCTAAAGCAATCTACAGATTCAGTGCAATCCCTATCAAAGTTCCAACAACATTTTTCACAGAAATAGAACAAAGAATCCTAAAACATATATGGAACAACAAAAGACCCCAAATAGCCAAAGGAATCCTGAGAAAAAAGAACAAAGCTGGAGGTGGAACATACAATGGAGAAAAGAAAGTCTCTTCAACAAATTGCGTTGGGAAAACTAGCTATTCCACTGCTGGGTATTTATCCAAAGAACATGAAAACATGAATGCATAATGATACATGCAGCCCTATGTTCATCGCAGCATTATTCACAATAGCCAAGACTCGGAAGCAACCTAGGTGCCCATCAAGGGACGAACGGATAAAGAAGATGTGGTGTGTATACACAATGGAATACTACTCAGCTACAAGAAATGATGAAATCCGACCATTGGTGACAACATGGATGGACCTTGAGGGTGTTATGCTAAGTGAAATAAGTCAGAGGGAGAAAGTCAAATACTGTAGATCTCGCTTATAAGTAGAAGATAAAAACAGTGACAAACAAACACATAGAAACAGAGTTTAGATTGGTGGTCTCCAGAGGAGAAGGGGGCAGGGAGGAGGGGGAAAGGGGTGATTAGGCTCATGTATGTGGTGATGGATGGTAATTAGTCTTTGGGTGGTGCACATGATGTAATCTACACAGAAATTGAAATATAATACGTACACCTGAAATTTATATAATGTTATAAACCAATGTTACCGCAATTAAAAAAAAAGAGAAACAAGAAAAAAAAAGAAAGAAATGATGTGAGAATATTGATGGTAAATAAGATTACGGATGGCATGAGACAGCACAATGGAAATGAATAGAATAAGAAGAGACAGCCTAAGATGGAAATCTCAAGAGTGGACAAAATTTAAGAGGAAGAAGTTTCCCAAGGTAGACTGAAGCCGTCAGAGAACTAGGAGAAAAACCTGAAGAATTCAGCCACAGAGAATGCAGGGCAGTGGGGGAGGGGATGCTACAAAGAGGTCAAGTTATTCAAGGACTGCGACTTGAATTTCACAGCAAGGGGATCCCTGGGGACTCTGAGGAGTGGGGGTGGAAGCCATGTTTCAGTGGGTTGAGGGGTGAGGTGGAGGATGGGGAGAAGGTGGAGACAGTGAGAGCGAGAGTATATACCTTTTTAAGAAGTTGCAGGAAGATTTGGTAGGGGAGAAAATGTGAAGTCAGGCGAAGTGTGTGGGGAAAATTAGTGTATCAGTGAGAAACCACGCATTGTCTACACCCCTGAGGATGCCGCCTGGATTCCCAATTCTACTCGGACGGAAGCTGTTTCACAGCTCTGCCTCCCTCGGCACGTGGACCTGTAAAGGTGTCTGTTCTTCTGACTCTCTTTTGAACCAGGTATACATCTGGCTGGTTCCCTCACTGATTAATGAGTTGAATGCAATCTTTGATGCATGCTGATTTTTACATCTGTATAAGAGAGATGATTTTAACTTTTCTCTGGAAAATCATCCTATCACAGATGTTTTACTTTTATGTTGCTTATGTTTAAGTTGGGAGAATGTTGGGTTGTTCAAAGCAGGAAGAATCCAGATGTTGTCTCCTCCCTGGGGACATGGGGTGGCTCTCACTCCTACACAGAGGGCCTTGCTCCCTCTGCAACCACAGTTCTGGCACATTTCTTATCTCAAAGTCTGGAGCCTGAAAATTGTTCCCTCTGGTCTGAGAGCCTGTCTCTGGAGGTCCTCATGGGGACAGTGGGCTGCACGGTGGACTCCCCTGGGCAGGCTGACTCTGTCTCCCTCCAGAGCCCCTCTGAGGCCTGTTCACCCAGAGGACAGCACCGAGCATCCTCAGGAGCAGGGCACCACCAGGAAGACCAGGCTCAGGAAGTGGATGCTGCAGAGCAGGGACCTGTGAGGACACAGTGACAGGCAGCGAGCTGCCTCCTCAGGTTCTCCTCGCTTTACCTCTCCCGTGTTCAGGTGATGTGGCCCCATAACCCATGGCAGGAAGCTTGGGAGGGACAGTGGCCAGGACAGCCAACCACTGAGGGATTGCATCACCCATCCCTTCAGTTCAGCGCTGGGCCTGAGTGCACAGCAAGACCCTGTGCTGCACGTCCTGGGGGGGCTGGGCCGGGTGGAGGTGCGGAGGCTGCGTGGACCTGGGAAGGGAAGCAGGAGGGAGACACGGGAGCCCCAGGGCTCCAGCCCAGTAGGTCCGGCTCCCAAGAGGCAAGGGCTGCAGGGCAGTGTTGCAGGTCCTCAGACACCTCACCCTGGAGGTAGGCCGTGCCTCCCCACCCCTCAGTGCTTGCGTGCAGGCTGGCACCTTCTTTGGGGAAGGACGAGTGTCAGCTGGGCTCGTGGAACTCCCTGTGGACAGACACACATCAGACCTTCAGTCTCTCCTGACTGTCCCCTCCGCACACCAAGCTGGGCTTTGAATCGCTCACTAGGGAAGGGGTGGGGAGACACGATCCTGTGGCCGAGGGGTCCCTGAAGCCAGCCTCAGGCCTGGGGGGAGCCGGGCGACTCCTCCCCTGAGCCTGACACAGCACCTTGCAGGCTAGGGAAAGACTTCCAGACCAGAACGCAAGCACGGCCTCCAGTGAGCATCACGTCCCCAGCTGCCCCATCCGCACTTGTGCCTTAGCCGGGGAGGGGCTGGCCGAGAAAGCCCCCGAGATGGGCCTGGGGCTCCTCACAGGCATTCTTTGTGGCCACGGTGGATCACACCAGATTATGCTAGAAGACACTGCTCTGGAATTTCCCCAGGAGTAAGTGAGCACAGGACGGGGTGGAAAATGCAACTCCTTCTGGTCTAAAGACCTGGAAGAGAGTGGCCTGGCTTTGTATTTCTGGAGCAGGAACATCCAAAGCCATGCACTGGGGTCTGGGCCTTCTCAGATCCTGGATCATTTCCTGTATTTCTTGAAGACCAGCCACCCTAGGCCATCTCTAAACACTGGGATGCTGAGTGGAGCCCCTGCCCCCAAATTTGGGCTGTTCAGAGAGGGCAGTAGAGGTGGCGAGCCACAGCAGCTGTTTTGGGGCCATGAGAACAGAGGGGGAATTCTGTCTCTCAGAACCCAAGACTCAGCTGCCTCCCTCCTTGTTCTTGGCCAGGATCCCTCTGGCCCCAATCCACTGTGTTATCATCAGAGACTAGGTCTGACAAAAGGACACACAGAGACAAGCAAATACAACACCACACAGCCTCTCAAATCACCGGTAACCAGAGCTGGACTCACTGGTTTTCCCTGAAGGCTTGTCAGGTATAAAAGCGTGGGTCCTCAGACCTCAGCCCAAGACCTTGAGTGGGAGGGTCTCACCTGGGGAGACAGGCACCACCACCTGGACCACAGGATAAGGACTGAGTCCATCCAGTCCATCCATCACCAGTCCATTTCAGTCCCTCCCTAGCAGGCTTCCTCAAGGTATGCATGAAGGTTCTCTGTGGTCACCATGAAGGTGACGGCCTCTGGACGGTCTCTGATGGACACCAGGCCTCTCCTCTGCTTTCTCTCCAATTTGGTGGCTTCCACAAGTCTCTCACAGGCAACAAGGTACTGTTTGCACCAGAACTTCGTGCTCATCCTGAATTTCTCCTCATACAGAAACAGCATGCTCAGGGATCGCCCTTGGTACCTGCCACCTTCTTGGGGCCCCTCAGAAGCCAAGGGCCTGGCAATCACAGGTCAGTGTCCTTCTCCTAACCCAGACAAGGGAAAGGGTCATGGTCAGCTCGCGGGAGGCTCCTTTCGATAGCTGGTACCCACCTCCCACTACGAGGATAAAGTAGCCCCTACCTAGTGATCCAAGGAGAAGCCACTGCCCCCTGCCTTTGGTGATTATCTTTGTAAACAACATCGTACCTTTATTGACAGCCACTGCGTGCCAGGCAGGCACACTCAAGTCTCCCTCAGGCATCTCCTGATTCTAGACAAACGGAGCTTGAGAAACCACACAGGTCATTTAGTCCACCCCCCCACACTACACCGGAGGAAACAGGCCAGACAGCAGGCCAGGGCACCCCCTGCCTTGGAGTGACCCCGGTCTCCTGGTTGCCGCCTCCTCCACTTGCAGGGTGACAGCCCCTGAGGAGCCTTGAGGGGACCTGCACCCCAGGTGTCCCTGCCCCAGGTCCATCGGGGTGGGGAGCTGGGACTCACTTGCATTTTCCAGACTGCTGGCCCGAGCGCCCCTCTCCACGGTGGGCACCACGACGAGGGCATCTCTGAGTGTGCCGTGCTGGCACGATGAGGAATTCAAGACCTTTGACAAATACTGACACAGAGAGCCGTGTCGTCAGCCAAGGAAGAAGAATGAAGACTTTCAGGCCAGAGGCGGTGGCAGGCAGAGGTCGAGTGTGCATCTCTGATCGACTTTGGGACTGACCGTCACAGTGACCACGGAGACCCTTCCTGAGAAGGAAGCGGGCATTGACTGCTCTGGGATTAGAACAGGACCGCTTAGACGCGGAAAGAGGATTGCGGCCTCTCCTATCGGCAAGGGGAGACAGGCGATTGTCCCAGGTAAGTCCCTCCTTTGCTCCACCCCCAGGATTGACTCTCCCAGTGCCTGAGAACTGAACAGCTGGACCAGAGCTGAGCTGCGACGACTTGAGACGGACTGTGTGTGTGTGTGTGTGTGTGTGTGCGCGCGCACGCGTGTGTCTGAGATCCTGGCCTCTCCCCCGGCTTTGACTGAAGTCTCAGCGGGCCTGGAGGATTCTGAGTTTTCTGCCTGTGATGGTAGTTGGGTCCTCAATTCTCAAGTCACCATTAGTCAGTCTCAAGTCAGATTTAGCGTTTTTACTAGGTGTCCTGCATTTTATCTGGCAGCTCTACCTCAGAGCCAGCAGGATGTGGGACCCATGTCGGGAACTCTGAAGGAGTCTCTCTTTTTCCCTGGGACAGGTTTGGCTTTCCCTGGAGGGGTTGTGGCCCATCTTAGCAGCCCAAGGCCCAGGGGCTCTCTCCAGCTGCCCTTGCACCCTCACGCCCTTTGTCCTCTTCATTTCAACTCTCTACCACTTGTGCCCGCCCTCGGTTCCTTCCTCAGCCTCCACGTCTACTTCTCTTCCTTTTCTGGCCCTGGGAAACCCCAGGTTCTTACATTTTTGGGAAGAAGCCCTTGTGAGGAACATGGGCCTGTTGACTTCTGTGCCTGCCCAAGAGGCGGTCCCCAATGTCCCTGTGAGGTTGCTGGGCCTCCTCCTGCATCTTCCTCTTTGTCTCTCTGCTCTGAGACCCTTCATCTGGCTGGAGGGGGCTCTGAGAGGCCCCTGACTCTCCCCTCGGGCAGAGGCCGCAATAACGTGGGCAAGCTCACCATTTAATTTTCAGTTTCAAAAAGCTCTCTTATTCCCTGAAGATTTCTTTTAAAGTCAATCCTATTTTAGTTTTGGCAGATTAACATCCCTTGTTTTTTGAAATATGTTAATTTTATGTTTTAAATTGTTGTTTTAGTTTTTTTCTGCTCCTGCGTTGTCTCTGTTCCCCGAGTCCTCTCTTCTGCGTGTTTTGGTCTCTTTTTCCACATTGAGACTGCTGTGTCCTCACGGAACCCCTCTTCCTCCTCCTCCCAGACACACAGAGATCACCAGTGTCCCCTGCAGGGAAGCAGCGCCTTGAAATACAGAAGTCGTGATGGTGACTTCCAGGCCAGGCCCTAAATTCTATCCCCACTGCATCCTCCACGTTCTCCCTCTTGCGCCCCCTGTTGGCCGGATGCTGAGAATCCAGCGGAAGCCCTAGGGGATGGTGAGGTCAGGTCCTGAGACAGGAGGAGCCCGGACCCGGAATCATCTCACGGAGGGCCACCCACCAGACGCCCAGGGGGCGCCTCTGTAAGCCAGAAACCAAGTCTGCTGTGCTGCTCCAAGGGGTGCTGTGCTCTGTCAGAGCAGCGAAACTAGCCAAACGGAGGCTTTTCCCAAACATCCTCACAACGCGTCATCAGTAACGAGCGAGAGACAGGTGAGGTGTTTGAAGACTGTGTGTCAGGGCAGAGTCCTCTGAGCGATGCCTCCCCCAGCCTTCCCTGGATCCACAGCCGTTCTCCATCCATCTCTCCAGAAAATGAATTCCGTGCAAGTTCGGCCAGTGGAGGAGGGAACCTAGGAGTCTAACTGCTCCTCGCACAGGCCTTCAGAAGTCCCTCCAGATTCAGCAAATTCCTCCTGCATTCACTCTCACGACCCTGAGAGGAGGTCCACTCTCAAGGTGGCGTGTGGGAACTGCCTGCGTGACCACAGAGCAGCTTGGGTGGGGCTGGGGGTGGGAGCCCCAGCGCCCGGGTCAGGCCTGGTCTGGCTACAGGGAGACGTTGCTCCCAGGACATCATCCAGCCCCTTCCATGAGCATCGTATTCTGTGTGGAGTCACAGCCATGCAGGTGCCCTGCACACAGTGGGGAGAGCCGGGCCTCTGTGCTCTGCACCCTCAGCCCCTGTCACTGCCTCTGTCCCCAGAGCTCCAAAGGACACCTGGCCCCCGTGTTCCCGGCAGTGAGTGCCAGGTGTGCACGATGTTCAGGACACATCCACCCGGGCAACCACCAGGGTAAGGGACCTGCTTGTGTGGTTCCTTCCCCGACTGAGGCTCCTCATTCATTCACTCATTCATTGGAGCACCCCCTGCATGCCAGGCACTAGTCTAGGCACTGGGTAGACATCAGTCAGCAAAGCAGAGCAAATCCTTGCCCTTACAGAGCTGACATTCCAGTGAGGGGGAGAGTGACCAAAGAAATCAGTGATAAGTAGCTGACTATAAATGCCATGAAAAACACAGTAAAGCAGAAGAAAAGGGACAGGGGCTCCTGGGGATGCGGTGTGGTGGGCAGCAGGCAGTGCTAGTGACGGTGTATTTTGTACAGGGAAGTAAGGAAGACCATTCTGATAAGGTGACACTTGTGGCAGAAAACTGAGGAAGGGGGGTGCCAGCCTAGCAGGGCAAGACAACTCTGGGTCAGTGGAGCAGCGAGTGCAAAGGCCCTGAGGCAGGAGCCCAAAGCAGAATCCTGACACTCTTCTGGTCAGCAGGACCCCTGGGCTCCCAGAATCTCTTTCTTCCTCCCTCCCCATGGCTGTGTAGGAAATATCAGGCCGATTTTAAACATCTCAGCTCCCTGAGATGGGATCAAGGGCTGCTTAGCGGAGGTCTGTTAGGCATCCATTCAGAAAGTTCCCGTTGAGTGTTTATTGGCACCCACGCTAAGCACTCAGCAGTCCCAGGACAACACCGCTGCCCAGGAGGTACACATGGCACGGTTTTGCCAGGTGCCCAATAGCTGAGTGTTCAGATTTGCTGAAGCCAAATTCCACCATCACGGAAGACGTTTCTGAGACACAAAAACACACTGGAAACGCTATCAAGAAGACATGCACTTATGGTACAATTGCGCTAGTTAATGTGTAGGTAGTTGAGTTTTGTAAGTAAACATATGACACAGGAACAACACTCTCAGCATGGTCAGCGGCCGGCAGTGTTCCTGCGGCTCCATACGCACGGGGCCTCCAGAGCCGGGCTCACGGCTGAACAAGGGAACCACTCTTGTGCCTCCACCTCCGTGACAAGGCCGTGCCCGCCTTCGCCGGAACAGAAGGCGTTTGAGTCCTGCCTACTTAGCTCCCGAGGGTGCAGTGCTGGCATGGTCCCTGTAGAAAGCTGAGTAGTCCCAACACCTGGAGCCCGGGAATATGGCCTAATTTGGAAAGAGGGTCTTTGCAGACTTAACTGAACCAAGGATCTTGCGTTGAGATCACTTGGATTATCCAGGTGGGCCCTAAATCCAATGACTTGTGTCCTAATAAGAGACAGAAGAGAAGAAGACACAGGCAGAAGGGGAGGCCTTCTGTGTGCAGACAGAGGCAGAGACTGGAGTGATGCTGCCACAAGCCAAGGAGTGCCTGCAGCCACCAGCAGTTGGAAGAGACAAAGCGGGATTCTCCCTACAGCCTCTGGAGGGAGCTGCCGACTTCTTGATTTAGGACTTCTGGTCTCCAGAGCTGTGAGAGGAGAAAGGTCTGTGGTTGTAAGTCCCCAGAATTGTGGCCATTTGTTTCAGCATCCCTGGGAAACCAATACAGGGCCCAAAGGTGGCCCCCTGCCCAGTGGGAACCCCAGGACTGAACATTGAGCGAGTTATGGCTGAGGCCACTCTTCCTTCCGGGAACACGGGCCTGGGCCACCCAGTGGCCCTCTGGGGCCAGCCTCTGCAGCCAGACCGGTTCCTTGTTCACTCAGTTGTTCATTCAACAAACAAGCCTTAAACACCAGCTGAATGCCCGGTGTAGGCAGCAGGGAGGTTTGTGCTGGACAAACCGGGCAGGACTGTTGTGGTTGCATGGCTTCCACCCCAGTGAGGGAGGTGGAAGGGCAGGAGCAAAGGAAGAAATGAACGTGTGACACAGCATGGGATGATCCCGCAGGAAATAAACGGGGTCCAGTGATGGAGTGAACAGGGGTGGCCTCTAGGAAGTGTGATCAGGGGCCACTTCTCTAAGGAGGTGACATGAGCTGGAAAGGATGAGGATGAGCAGGCCATGGGAAGTGGGAAAGGAGTGCAGGTGCTAGGACCCCCAGGGGAAAGGGCACAGGGGCTAGAGCATAAGGCTCTGCTCTTGTGGAGGCTGCCGCCTCACCAGGAAACAAAGGCCATGATACAGGTCAATAACAACACAGGTATTGTCAGAAGCATCAGACAGAAGCATCGCAGGTGGCAGGAGCCCAGAAGGGAGGGCTCAGGAAGGCCTGGAGTAGACAGGACACCTTCCAGAGAAGTGGCTTCAGCTCATCCTTGAGGACTGAGGAGGGAGTGGGGATGGCCGTCGAGGAGGTGGAAAGAGCAAACACAGTGCTGAGGAGGCAGGGAGAAGCCTGTGGGGTGCCCACCCTACTCCATCCTACAGACACCCAGCGTTTGCCCTGAGAACGCATCCCGACGAGATTTGCGGAAGCCCCCAGAGCTGCCCCCAGGAGCAAGCATTGATGGGCTCAAGAGCGCAAGGGAGGGCGCCAGGCTCCCTGTCCTACTGTGTGCGCCTTGCTGCCGGGGCTCATTATTCCAGGCCTCCTCTCGCTCTGCCCTCATGGGCCGGAAGCATTTTCCAGGACAGGAACCAGGGAGAGGAGGACAAGGGCCTGCTCTGGAGTGGGTAGTCGTTCCAGATCCTGGTCTTGACATGGAAAAATCCTAGGGTGCCCCAGACATGAGCCACCCCTCAAGGAATTTGTCGTCTACTGAGGGAGCTGGACAAGTGATGTGTTGGAGTGTGTACCTCTGAGGGCCTGGTGTGCATCTGGTTTAAAGTGGGGTCCCCGTGGCATTGCCATGTGCATACGGCCAAATGTCCTGTCTGTAGCTAATGAAAAGAAAACGCACACCTGTGTTGCTAAGCCACCCTGCGGCCCCTCCCTTCCTTGCCCTGAGACAAGCAGGAAGCCGTGAGCTTTCTGCGCTGTGGGGTGACCTTCGAGCTGAGCTAACAGAAGCCTTGGAAGGTAGGCTGTGCCGTGATTGCAATTACATGCTGCCCCGCCATGTAAAAGGAAGAGGATTGTGCTTCTCCATCCCTTTGACATCAGGCTTGGCCATAGGACTTGCTCTGGCCAATGAAATGTGAGCCTAAGTGACCGTGCCCCTTCTGAGCAGAAGCTCTGGGAGCCACTGTGTGGTTCCCCTTCTCGTACTGCAGACAGGGGCCGCTTCTTCTGTCTGGGTCCCCAAGAAAAGTCACCCACTGCAGACATGTAACATGAGCGAGAAATAGAGTTTGTGGTTACACCGTTCTGAAATGTGAGAGTTTCATCACAGCAGCAGTACCTAGAAAAACCTGACTCTACAGCCCTATGCACAACAGGCAGTTCTTCTGGAATGAGGCTGGTGAGAATGGCTTTCCGGGAAGCTCTGTAGCTGCCAACCGTCCCCTTCGCAGACTCAGAGCGGGGCGTGTTGAGGAGCCCTCACTGCCCTGCCTTGCCCCGTCAGGGCTCCTCCGGGATTCTGCAAAGGTGGCGCCCTTTCCTCAGACGCCAGAGCCGTGAGCAGCTCGCGGCGCTCTGCCCTGAAAGGGCTGATGCTGTAAGGCAGACAGTAGGGGGTGCTGGCCTGTTGCTGGCAGACGACAGTCACAGAAGTGTCAGGCCTGCCCCTAATGAGCCTGCCTGAGCCGCCTGGGCCAATGGCAGCTGTACGATCTGTGGAGGCAGAAAGAGGGAGGCATCCTTTACCACCCCCAGTTCCTGCTCCCCCCACCACACACACGTGCACGTGCACACACACATGTGCACACCCCCCCCCCCAACCTACTGCCAACTGCACCCACATGGAGTGAGCTGGGAAGGGCGAGGGGGTGAATTTGAATCCTGGGCTGACAGCGATCACGCGATGCCCCAAAGTCCACACGACAGCTAAGAAGTGGCAAATGAAACTTTCAGCTACACCTCATAAATCATATTTAGGGGGTACGATTTTCTTTTAAGGTCATGTTAAAAAGAAAATAATAATTTCCAGAGAAAACGTCACAAGGACTAGTGAAAAAAAAAGCCACAGAATATGAATATGAATCTTTGTCCCTTTTCAGGTACCGAAACCTTAAGATTTAAAGGGAAAACAGTTCCGCATAAACAAGTGGAAGCTAATAGACTGACAAATTCTTCTGCTTCTAGTGAACTTCCTTCTCCCCAGCTTGTGAGCTCTGTGTGACTAATACGTTGTGCAGGAAACCACAATCCAGCACTGGAGGGGGAGGTGTGCAGACACACACACACGTGCACACACACACACACACATGTGCACACACACACGCCAAACCCCAGGAAACATGGAGCCTCCCACTGCAGCAAAAAAGTGAACAAGCAAGAAGTGTATTTACTGAAACACCCAACTAAGAGAAGATATATGACGCTCGCATTCCAGAATTTTAGCTTCCCGCTCACACGAATGTTAGTTCTCGGGTAAAGCAGTTCAAATCTGGGTCTGTCTTTTAAGTCCACCACGGCTGTTTCGTGTGACTGGACGTATTTCTGGCCAGGTACACCCGAGTTCCCTTCTGACACGTTGAAACTTTTCTATCCCTGAGAATCTTGGCTTCTCATCTCACCACACAGGTTAAAGGTGAGACTTGAGGATGGTTTAAGTTCTGCTCGGTGCCAGAGCTGTGGAGCGTGTGACCAAGACAGGAAACCATTCAAGGCGTCTGGGGTCTGGTGAGGCCAGACCAAGAGCTGGGGGCTCAGAAGAGCAGAGCGCCCTGAGGGCAGACCCAGCCTCACTGTCTGTACCACCAATGGCCGGAGACATGGCTGGCATCAGGGGCTGCACTTACAAGGGCCGCATGCTTGGTTTAACGTTCCCTTGTCATCATCTTGAAATTCTTAATAATTCTGGAACCAGGGCATTTTCATTTTGCTCTGGACCCTGCAAGTAGCTGGTCTTGTCCAGAGAAGGCCTAGTCATGCCGGTACCACTCGAGACCACCCATGCCGGCCACAGGAAATTGGCAATGTGTAAAGGGGACGAGTTGCATGGAAAATCTAGATGGAAATTAGCCCAGACTGGTGCCAGCGTCAGCTATGCTGTGCTTTAGAGAATGGCGGGCCTGTCAGCTGTGGGTGAGTAATGAGAAGGTCGTTATCTTCACATGGAACAGAAACAGGAACTGCATATTCAAATTATTTTATGAGGATGAACTTCAGCAAGTTTTCAGCACCATAGTCAACTGGCCACATGATGCCCTGAGCTCCCAGCTTCCCCCATTTTCTGACAAGCTCTGAGGACAGAACCGAAAGGCTGAAGAAGGAAGCAGAGAAGTGCCAAGAAGAACAGAAGAGGGAGACGGCTGAGCGGACCCTCGGTGAGGAGGCTCCAGCCTCAGGCCCAGCTGCAGCTGGAGAGATCACCCAGGGGGACGGGGCCATGTGGCTGCCATCAGCTCTCCTGCTTCTCTGTGTCCCAGGTGAGCGGGGCTGGGTGTGGACCGGGGAGGTCTGCGCGGGCAGGTCAGAGTGAGGAAGGAGTGAGGGATGGCCGGTGATGGGAGGGGGAAGAAATAAAGACGCCAGGAAAAAAGGGGTGAGGTGTGCATATAAAAACCTTCAGACAGCTCATCGTATTTCCTCATCGGGACAGGACAAGGATTAAATGGTAACATGCTTTCCGTGCAGCGAGCTCGTACTGAGCTCCAAGTAAATTTGGCCACTTGAACCGTTATTACCATCGTTATTAAAACCAGGACTGCCCCCTCTCCCTCCGGCCCCGCGGCTGTGTCTGGAGATCCTGGGACTGGGGCGTTTTGCTCCTCAAGCAAATTCCTCAACCTCAGTTCTGCTGACCCTGGGGCTGGATCGCTCTGTGTGGTGGGGGCCGTCCTTCCTGCTGTAGGATGTTCAGCAGCATCCCCGGCCTCTATCCACTCGGTGCCAGCAGCAACTCCCCACCCCCGCAAACTATGACAACCAAAATGTCCTCAAACATTGCCAAATGTCCCCTGGGGTTGGTCAGTATGGCCCCTGGGTGAGAACCACTGCTTCAGGGAATGCTGGTGGGAGAGGGGGATGGCGCTGACATAGAATATAGGTCAGGGAGCCACGGGAGCTGTCGTGTTGGGAAATAAAGTGAGAAAACTCGAGGTATTTAAAATGAAGAAGTAAAAACTATGTGTTTTTTTTTTTTAACTTTAGAATAAAAAATAGCAAAGGTCTCACAATTTGTGGATGACAATATACTGCCTGGATAGCTGGGTGGGCGGAGGGAGGGAAGGAGGGAAGACTGGAAGGGTGGATGGATGGATGGAGAGACAGACAGACACAAGATAGATGGATTATATACCTGATCCTTTATCAGAAGTTTGGGATTTTGCCCAAACCCTTTCTCAGTGCCCTTGTCACTGGGTTAACCCTTTCCTGTCAAGAGCAGAGCAGACAGCAGCTGTTGCTTGGAGTAATGACGACCCCTTGGGGGTCGAGGCCCAGCGTGGCTCTCCAGGTGGGAGGCAGAGAGTTTAGGGGGCTGGGTCCTAATCATGCGGAGCTGGAGCCTCCAGAGTGAAAGGTTGGGGGGAAATGTCAAAATCTTCGAGGTGGCAGAGGACTTGGAGATGAGGCCCAGGGGGGCTCTGAGAAGTGGGAGAGGGAAGACCCTCTGGTGGGTCATCAGTGGGGAGCTGCGGTGACATTCGGTGTCAGGTGATGGCAAGTGTTGCTGCAGGATTCTGTCCCAGAAGGGAAATCGAAGTGTGATTGTCCTTGAATCCCGGCCTCTTCCTAAGTGTTCTCTTTGTACCTCAATGCCAGCTCCCACCTCCTGTGTGACCTAGACCGACGAGCAGGAGGTTCCACCTAGACAAGCAGGGATTGTAAGCTTGGGACCCACAATGAGCATCTGGGAAGGGGGCAAAACCGGAAGCTGCAGGTGTCCTCCCAGGAGGGACACTCTAAATACTGGGCTTCATCTAGTTTTTCCTGGTCCCCATTCTGATTTCCTGTTTCCTACTCCATCTGTCCATCCATCCATCCATCCATCCATCCATCCATCCATGTCTCTATCCATCCATGTATTCAGAGTATACTCAGTGACTTCATTCAATTCTTGGTGATTGATGGGGACAGGTGTCTCCTCTCAGGACTGACACTTCTGGGGACCCAGAAGCTGTCTGGGGCCACCAAAGTCTTCCTCTCCCCCTCACATTAGAAGTTGACTGAGCACACACAGGGTGGGCATGACCTCTCGAGTCCCAGAATCCTGCACCAAGCATCTCCCCCCATGTCTGCAAACAGCGCATACCTCTGGCTCCTGACCCCTCCTTCCTCTGACCTCAGGTGATTTCTGGGCTTCGTGGGGATCTGACACCCAAGGCCCATCTGGCCCAGGCTCTTCAGGGTGAAGATAAGGCTGCTTGTGTTTTCCAGGCTCTGTGTCTCTGAGTGGCCCCAGCATCGTGACAGGCACTGTGGGGGAATCCCTGAGTGTGCAGTGTCGGTATGAGGAGGAATACAAGACATTTAAAAAATACTGGTGCAGACAACCGTGCTTGCCACTTTGGCATGAGATGGTGGAGACCACAGTGTCTGAGGTAGAGGTGAGGAGCGGCCGAGCGGCCATCGTGGACCACACTGGGGACCTCACCTTCACAGTGACCTTGGAGAACCTCACTGCAGAGGACTCAGGGAAGTACAGGTGTGGGATCGCAACGATACTGCAGGAGGAGGGGCTGCAAGGCTTCCTGCCTGATCCCTTTTTCCAGGTTCAGGTGTTGGTTTCCTCAGGTAAGACCCTCCTTTTCTCTGTGCCAGTCATGAAGGAATCTGAGCATCCAAGGAAATTTCGACCGAGGAGAGGAGAACCGGACCTGGTGTCGGTGCATCAGACATTCAGGACCAAGTGTGTTATGTGAACGTGAGTGCGAGGGAGATGTGCGTGAATGTGTGAAAGTGTGACTGTGTGTGAAAACATGTAAGTAGGAGTGTGTGTCAAGTGAATGAACATGTGAGTGTGTGTTCGAGTGTGAATGTGTTGTGTGGGTGTGAGAGGGTGTGAGTGAGTGTGTGTGTGTGTATAAGGGTGAGTACGTGAGGGTGAGAGTGTGAGTGTGTGTGTGAGTATGTAAGGGTGAGTGTGTGAGTGTATTGCATGAATGTGTAAGAGTGAGTGTGTGAGAGTGTGTGTGTGACATCCAAGGTTCCTGCCACCACGCCAGGTCCTGACAGTGGCTGTGGGCCTCCAGGCTTCTGAGGCTGGTGTAGGCGGCAAGGGCCTGCGTCACGGGATCCACCAGGATCGAGGGGCTCTTGCGGTCTCCCTGTTCCCTGTCGGGGAGGCTCTGCTCCAGAGGGAGTCCCTTCTCACTCTCCCTTGGCTTGAGCTCTCTCAACAACCCAGAGCCCGGGGCCTCCCCCAGGGTCAGGAGAGGATCCCTGAGATGGTCCAGGCTCAGAGAGGGCCCAGATAGCCAGCCTTGTCCCTCTGACGGGGTGATCCCCGTTCCAGAAATCCAAGCCCCAGCCCTGGCTCTTCCCCTGGCCTCTCTGGCATTCCCCCTTTGGGCCTTTCCACAGCCTCTGTTACCTGTGCTCGCCCCAGGGGGAAAAAACCATTTCTGCATTTTCTGGAGGTCCTGCCCACAGGGCTGTGGGTCAAGGGAGTTGGTTTGAGGGCATGCGGAAGCCCAAGAGGGAGCCCCCAACTCTCTGACTGGGCTTGGTCTGTCTGTCTCTGTCTGTCTGTGCCTCTGTCTGTCTGTGTCTCTGTCTGTCTGGCATCCTCTCTGGCCCCTCAGCCTCCTCCTGCTTCTGCTCCGTCTCCCTCTGGCACTCTCGACCAGGCAGGAGAGAGCTCAGTAAACCCCTGGACCAGACAGGGCAGAAGTGGGATGGGGCACCTCTAATAGAGTTTTCTTTTCAAATTCTGCTGCTTAATCTTTTTATAAGCCTTTTATATATATATTATATAAACATAATATATAAGCCTGTTCTTGTTTGATGAGAGCCACATCTTCTCTTATCATTCTAAGGATATCCATTTTTTTTTCTTCTGCTTCCTGGATTGTCTCGTCTTCCTCTGAGTTTCCTTTTTCTCTTTGTGTTGGTTTCTCTCTTTCGTGTTGGAGCCTTCCTTGAAAGGTCGTCTCCTATGTGCATTTAAGAATGTGGCCCTAAGAAACTGGTTGTGAGCTCAGTGGTGAAGGACGGGCTTATGGAGGGCTGGAGGAGAGGGTCACCCTTAAGTGACAGCCCAGAGACGCAGCCATTTTCTTCCAAATCCCTAAGTGTCTGTCTCTGTATTTCCTTCCCCCTGGTTGGCCACTGAACCAGTGAGGATTCTCCAGTCTGCTGCTAATGTTTGAGGAGCTGGGTGGGCTCAGGGGTCTGGGGGGCTCCCAGTTTCTAGAGTGCAGATTCCACCCACCTTCTCTGTTTGGGGCTGGTGGTGTTCTGCAGGCACCAGCTGTTTGAGGCATGCCTGCTTTCACACTTCCCTGAAGTGGCCTCTGCAGTCTTCTGCCAGGGTGGACAAGGCGGTGGGGGGGGGGGGTGTGTGTGGATGCGCTCGCTGGGGGTGGGACCTCTGAGCATTCTTGTTTTCAGCGAGATGAGGATCACTGAAGTTCTTAATGGCAGAAGGCGAGGACTCTCCGGTCCCGATTTGTGAAGTGTCTACCTGGCTGCGGAGCAGATTAGGATGGGGTTGATGGGGATACTCCTTTACCCTGGCCAGGCCTGGGTCTGACTATGGGGAGATGATGATCCAAGAACATCTGTCCAGCCTCTTCCCTGAGTTCCCCCTGCTTTGTGAAGTCAGAACCGTGCAGGTGACAGGTACTTAGCTGGTGGGGGTCATGGACAGGGCACTGGGCCTCACCCCCCGCTTTCTCCATAGCCTCCAGCAACAAGAGCTCTACGTGGACACCTGGACATCCCAGCCAACACCAAGGGTAAGGTGCCTGCGTCCCAGTGTCTTCTCCCACCTGCCTGGCTTCTTCCCTAGAGTAGGGCTTCCTAGACACAGACTTCCTCAATCATTCACTCACTCAACAAATATTTAATTATCTTGCTATTTGCCAGGAGCTGATCCAAATGCTAAGGATATCACATGAACAAAGAGGCAAGGTTATGCTCTCGAGGAAGTTTCTTTCAAATGGGTAGATTTAGACAATAGCCAGATGGATAAGAAGATAAATTAGAGAGAGAGAGAGATGATAGGGATGGATAGATAGATACATGATAGGGATGGCTAGATGGTAGAGGGATACATAGATTGATAGATAGGAATAGATAGATGATAGTTGATAGCAGTAGATGATTGAGATATGTGATAGGATGGATAGTAGATGATAGATAACAGAGGTAGATAAATTAGATAGATAGATAGATAGACAGATAGACAGATAGACAGGAGGTAGATAGGTAGACAGATGATAGATAGATAGGGGAAATATCAGTTAATGATAATTGTTATGGAGGAAAATTAAACAGGTGTTAAAGGAGAGGTGATAGGGCGTATGGGAAATGGCTGGGCATGGTGAAGGCTATCGAGACCCTCAGTGAAAACAGTAACAAAGAAACTGTCTTAGTTTGAGTTTCCTCAAAATCAGCTCCTGAGACAAGGATTTAGGCATAATTAGTTTACAGAGAGGTTATCCCGCGAAGCACAGCGAGGGAGCGGGAAGCAGGGAGGGCCAACGATGTGTGCAGCAATGGGAGTCATCACTGGAGCATCTGGGCTCAGTCCCACTGGGCACCCTCAGAGAGGCTGCGCTGGACGTTGCCCAGAAGTGTCCCACTGAGAGGTGAGGAAGCTGGGGCGGTGATCTACACACACCTGTCCCTCGTGGTGAGGGAAGACGGTGGGATTTGCTCTTCTTAGACCGAGTGAAGAGGGAAGGCCTCTCAAATTAAGCGACTTCTGAGCAGAGACTCGAAGGAAGTGGGAGAGTCAGCCAAGCAAGAATCTGGAGAAAAAGTGTTCCTGGGTCACTCCTGGCGGCATAAATTCTATAGCACTTCCGGCCTGCTCTGCTCAGCAAGCCACGCACATGCCTATAGCTGGAGACAGCCCTCAGGCAAAGAGATGCAGAAGCTTGATGCGGGAACCTTTGTTGGGTCTAAGACTGTCCACAGCTGCCAGGAGCTCAAGTGGGCAAGGAGGACATGGGCAGAGAACCAGCAGGGTTTGCTACAGGGGCCCGATGCAGTCTTGGAGAGGACCAGGAAGGCATCAGCCAAATCTTCAGGCTGCTAGCCAGGCAGAAGTTTGGGGAGGTGGAGAGATTAAACAAAGGTCTGGCGTTGGGAGAGGACACAGGATTTGTGAGGAGCTGGAATGGGGGCAGGTACTGGGACCCAGGGGGAGAGGGGATCGGCCATGAGCTGAGCTTAAAGAGGTCACTCCTGGGGGTTGAGATTGTTGAACTGTTTAAATAGAAGAGCAACCTCCCATGATCATGTTTAAGGATGAATCAACACTCTAATTTGAGTGAGGAGTGGTTATAGGGGACACTTTATCCTTGAAGTTGGTCCCAGCAAAAGCTGAGTTCCTGTAAGTGCTGATGACGGAGGAACCACCACATGGGTTCAGAAAGCTGTTTCTGGGAGCCAGGGCCTGGCTGGGTACCTCCATCTCTCTTCCTCTGCATCCCTCACCCCCACATCCCCATGCATCTGCTGGGTCCTGACACCCAAGGTCAATTCTTGAGCTGAAGGACATGAGTCTGTGGCCCTCATCATGGAGTCGTCTGGTCCTGGTACCAACCAGGTTTGATGCTGATAGTGAGTTTTGAGGCCACAGGACCCAAGCTCAAAGGAAGAGGGGGAGAGGCAGAGCCTGGGCCTCCCGTTGAGGAGGAAGCTCACCTCGGTCACCGTGTCCCTCTCACAGGTTCCTGCTCCTCATATTCCTGAAGGTGCCCCTGTTCCTGCTGATGCTCAGTGCCGTCCTCTGGGTGAACAGGCCTCAGAGGGCAATTTGTGGAGAAACAGAGCCAGCCTGACCAAGAAAACCTGCAGCCATCCTCGCCCATCAATATCTTGTGCAGAGACACAGGCACGCAGACTAGAGAAGAAGGAACTTCAGACCCTGAATCTGATATCCCTTTTCACCCTATTGCCAGAGACTTTTAAAACAAACTTTTAAAAATGTTTTAATGAAATATATCATATACACAAAAGCATCTATAAGATGTATATGTACAGCTCAAGAACTAGAAATAAACATGTGCATCCACTGTTCAGCCTAAGAAATCAAACATCACGAAGACCTTTAAGGGCCCCATATGCCTCTCCCTGATCTCAGATCCCTCCTTCCCCTTCTCCCAGAGTTAACTGCTATCTTGATTTCCTTGTGATCCTCATCCCCCGTTTTTCTTTCGTGCTCTCTCAAGGGTGTCATTGTTTCTGAATCTTGCACAAAGGAAATCGTACTGTTTCAAGCTCGCCCATTGATGAACAATGGTAGATTTCCCTCCTCTGTTGACGGATTGCTGGGAACTCCCTACAAGGCCATAGGAGTGAGCGCTAAGGTTGCAGCACAGGACATCAAGTGACTGTGCAACTGGAGCTATGCATCTTGAGGTGGGTAATGTCACGTCCACCAAATTGTAAGCTTGGTCAAGCGTGTCGTCTACTTCAGCACAGCGACAAGTTAGGGTCTCCTGGTTAAACGAGTGGTTCTCTCGTGCAGGCAGTAAGCCTTTGCTCCAGAATCCTAGGGGTCGGCACAACAGCTCTTCTGAGACACCACAGGGCATCCTTATCTTTCACAGAGACTTCTAGCACCGTGGAGCCAACCAGGTCACACGGCCCAAATGACAGGGCCAGTTTTACCTCAGCCTGGGTCTGCCGTAGAGCCCCCCCTTGCTCTGGCAAGCTTCTCAAGTCACCCCATAAGTGAGTCAGAGCAGTACTCCCCAGTGTGGAATGTGCCAGCCCACAAATTCAGAGGCCCACCAAGCTGTGTGCTTTTTCTTAGAGATTTAAGACACGAGACCAAAAAACTCATCCCAGACCATGGACTCCTAAAACTTGTGTGTATGAGAGAGGCCCCTGAAACCCTGGAGGGGGTGCCTCCTTCGGGTGCTGACGTGTCTCGTCAGGGCATCTAGAGTACTTGCTTCTTCCTACTCTTCTGACCATCAATAACGCGAAGCAGCGTGACGCTCTGTGGAGTGTCTCATCAGTCCCTTGGGACTGCATTGTGACGGAACAGAAGAGTCGCCACGATCCTGGCTGACTGCGAATGTGTTCTCTTAACTTCCCAAGTAAATGTGAACTCCTTCTGCTCTCCCTTCTTTATAGGGATTGAAAAGAGTGTATTTGCCACACCAATAGCAGCACAGCGAGTACCAGAGGCTGTTCTCATAAAGACGGTACATCGAGAAGAACAATTGCCATTGGGCTATCAATTGGCTAAGTTTAAGTTGGTCCACTGTTATATGATAGGCCTCATCTGAGTTTTTCAGAAATCAGACGGGTGAATTAAGTAGATGTTTTAAAATGCACCCAGGATTTCTTTTAAAAGGGTACGGTAAGATATGCAGACACGGAAACGATTGTAACGAAAGAAGAAGTTTATGCTCATAGATCCCTAGAAACAGGAGGCTCGGCACACCACACAGGGCTGCATGAGGCAGCACCGGGGGGGTCAGGGGCCAGAGGTAGAGAGAGGAACCGTGGGCGGGAGCCTTTACTGTGGTTTTTGTGGGAAGCGGTGGGTGAAGCCAGGTGAACAAACCAAGCGGTTGAGGATTGGATGGTTTGAATAATATCGGCAGGTTCTGGGCTCTAAGGGTGGTCCCAAGTGTCTGGCACCTGGCCCTGGGGTGATTTAAGGCAGGGGGATAATGTCCCAGACCGCAGGAACCTGCTAGAAGGAGACAAGTGGGAGTGTGCATTTGGCATTGGTTGGTTTGCATACCCAAAGCGTGCTTGCAGGCAGGTCATTTACTGTCTTGACGAATTAGCTAACCCTGGGAGGGGCAGTCCCTCGCTGGATCCACAAGACCCCAAGATGCTAAAGTATTACAAAATATAGAAAAAATGTAAACTCACATGATTAATAGAGATTAATAGTAGAGTAATAATGAATAGTAATAGTAGTAGTAATTAATCAAGATTAGTTAGTAGGGATATGATGGGAGCTCACTACTCCTGCTTCCTCAAGTCTTGGAGAGGGGACATTAATCTCCATCATTGCACTCAGATACGGTATTGCCTAACTTGCCATCTTGACAGCGGGGAGCACAGTTTCAGGACTTCTCTACCGTTATAGCCTTTACTCCATTGGACCAATGTGAGGGTTCTGCCAGCTCTTGAGACTCTCCATCCCAATTATGCCATCGTGGATCTGGGATATGGCCACAAGGTACGTCCACAGAGTCATCAGACACACCGTGAGACAGACTCGGGCCAGGACACCCTCTACCCCCGGCCTCCGTTCCACATCAGAGTTGTCCTTTTAAAAGACCACTTTGCAATTGGACATCCACAGGCAAAAAAATGAACCTTGACCTAAACCTCACACCTTACACAAAAATTAACTCAAAGTCAGGGCATGGACTTATACGTAAAACATAAAACTGTGAAACTTTTAGAAAAAATAAGAGAAAACCTCTGGGATCTGGGTCAAGGCAAAGACTTCTTAAACTTGACACCAAATCCATACAATGAAAAATTGATAAATTAGACATCATCAAAATTTAAAACTTCTGCTTTGCAAAAAACCCTGTGGAGAAGATGAAATGACAAGCTACAGACTGGAAGAAAATATTTGAAAATCACATATCTGACAAAAGGCTTATATCTAGAATATCTTTATAGAACTCTCAATAGTCAACAGTAAAAAATCAAACAATCCAATTAGAAAATGGACAGAAGATCTGAACAGACATTTCACTGAGGAAGATGTATAGATGGCCAATAAGCACATTAAAATACGTTCAGCATAATTAGCCATCACGGAAATGCAAATTAAAACCACAGGGACGTATTGCTAGACACTTATTAGAAGAGCCAAAATAGAAAACAGTCACAACAGCAAATACTGGCAAGATCACGCATACTGGCTGGTGAAATGACCCAATTATGGAGATGGAGAAGAGAAGAATGATTTCCAAGGGTTAGGGAGGGGGGGAAGAAAGGATGTGGCCGGGGCAGTACAAAAGGGTGGAATGAGGGGTCCTGGTGATGGAATTATTCTGTGTCTTGGCTGGGGTGGTGGTCACCTGAATCTATACATGTGATAAAAGATTGAACCAAATACACACAAACACGTGGATGAGCGGATGTAAAACTGGTGAAATCCGAATGAAGTCAGTGGCTTGCATCAATGCCTGTGTCCTGGTTGTGATGGTGTACTATAGTTTTCCCTTATCGGGGGACACTGACTGAAAGGTGTACAGGGGCTCTTTGTAGTATTCCTCACGAGTGCATGTGAATCTACAGTTATCTCAAAATAAAATGTTAGGAAAATCAAAGATCACTTTGACACCTCTGGGACATGGATGAGAGAGGGCAAGAAGGTCAGAGAGGGACCTCTGGCAGTTGGCCTGGGAGTAGAGCAGACTCGCAGACTCCAGCTCCCTGGGCCTCAGAGCTCCAGCGGGGCCAGCATGGATGTGGCTGCAGGTTTGAGGCAGGGACTGAGCTGGGCTTTCCCATCAGTGAGGATTGGTTATGAAGGGAAATCTGATCCTCTGCAATGCCCCTGCTCAGGGCTGCATCTCTGTGAGTGGGGACAGAGTGGGGTGGGCGGGGTAGAGGATTGGACTTACAATCAGGAGCCTGTGTCTAATGGCAGTGGGGGAAATGTCCTGAACTGAGACAGTGTCAAACAGGTGTCGCCAAACTTGCCTCCAGGGCAGTTGCAGGTATTTTAAACAGGAAGTGGATTAATGCAGGGAATTAGATACTGACAAGTGTCGGACAGGCTGAAGAAGCAGCTTCTAGGCTGGGCCTCTTGGAACAACTTTCAGAACTTCCAAGAGAGCTCCGAGGTCTCCACTGGGAACTAGAGAGAGAGCTCCATCATCCATGATCCAGGTTCGGGAAGTCAGTCCAAGAAGGAGTCATGTCCACTGCTTTTTGACATCCAGGAGGCTGGAGAATAAACACCAGAACTCTGCTTCAGGAAAGATCAGGTTTCCAAAACACATTAGCTAGCAGGAATAGCCAGAAATCACAGGAAGTTACCTAACTCTCGCCCTCCAAACCTTACGTGAAGTGTCAAACAGGTGCAACCCAGTTTGTATCCAGGACACCAGCTGCAAGGGGTCTGAGATAAGCAGTTTTAATGTTTCCACCTCCCCAAATAGAAGATGGGCTACACATTTAAAAGAAAAATCAGTCCTAAAAAACTACCACCAAGGGGTGCAGTCAACTTAAGCAGCCCTCACATAGCCCGGATTTTTGCTTCCTGAGAGAGGTGGGCACTGCGATGAATGCCCACAGTCAAAAAGAGAGACCTCAAATAAACAACCTAACTTGACACCTCAGGAAATAGAAAAAGCAGAACAAACTAAGCCCAAAATTAGCAGAAAGAAGTAAATAATAAAGATTAGAGCAGAAATAAATGAAATAGAGAATAGGAAAACAGTAGGAAAAACATCAATGAAACTAAGAATTTGGGGGTTTTTTTTGGTGAGGAAGAGTGGCCCTGAGCTAACATCTGCTGCCAATCCTCCTCTATTTTGTATGTGGGATGCTGCCATAGCATGGCTTGATGAGCAGTGTGTGGGTCCTTGCCCTGGATCTGAACCTGCGAACTGCAGGCCACCGAAGTGGAGTGTGCGAACTTAACTGCTACACCACCAGGCCAGCCCCATGAATTAGTTTTTTTGAAAAGATAAACAAAATTGGCATACTTTTAGCTAGACTTACTAAGAAAAAGAAGAGAGAAGACTCTAATAAGACCAGAAACGAAAGAGGAGATATTACCACTGATGCCACAAAAATAAAAAGGGTGATGGGAGGCTACTATGAACAATTATATACCAGAAAACTGGACAACCTGGAAGAAATGGATAAATTCCTAGAAACCTACAACCTACCAAGACTGACTCACGAAGAAATAGAAAGTCGAATAGACCTACAGCTAGTATGGAGATTGAATCAGTGATCAAAAACCTCTCAACAAAGTAAAGCCCAGGACCAGATGTTTCCATGAATGAATGCTACTCAACATTTAAAGAAGAATTTCCACCAATCTTTCTCAAACTCTTCCAAAAGTTGAAGAGGA